TAATGAAATTGATGAGAATTACCTTGCAAATCATCTAGCTATAATTATTAAGCGAACTAGTGCTGATAATGATGAGCGTGAAATAATAGATGATAGAACTGAAAGTGAAGGTAATGATGTTGTTGAAGCAGGTAGATAATAACAATGATTATAATGTTGTTGACACACAAACTGTAGCCGATGAGGTTTTTCTTAAAAACGGAAAGCTTATGATTTATGAGATGAAATGGGCCATTGTTAAGATATAAGCACAAACTTGTGTTCTTGAGAAATATCGCATGATGAAGCACCTCAAAGTAGCCGGTAGTATATTCTGAGTATATTCTCAGCAAAAAATATTAGCATGATATTTATTAACTCGTACTTGCGCACCATGCATTAGCTCAGCCCGTGACGGAGACTGCATTAGTAGATACATATATCAAGGGGATCGGATAGTTTCGATATCGACTGCAGCTAGATGATTTGCAAGGTAATTCTCATCAATTTCATTAATTTCTATCTCTTTATAATTCTCATTTAAATTTTTAAGACATTTTAAAGCTTTTCTAGTATGCGCTGGATTAATAAATGTTTTTTTCCATACAGTCTTGTACTGAATTCTTCTTTTTAAATCAAACGGAATTATCATTGATTTATCAACTGGAAGAGGAAGAGCTGTTACTGTTTCATGAACATTAGCTGGCACACAATGAAGTGGACCGTGACTACCACGTTACTTGGAATGCAATAGATCAACGATATACATGAAAGGAATTACCAGAACAACTAACAGTTTCTCAAGATATTCAGTCGTTTTAATTTATCAGTAAAGCGCAAACTTCTAAACTATTTGCTAGAGCTTTAGGCGGAACTTCTTTCCGACTAACTTGACTAGCTCATTCACGACAAATCCATTCATTACTGTCTGAAATTGATTTAACAAGTTTCCTTTCTAACCAATTCACTCTGCGCTTCACGCTGTGAAAATAAACGCGTTTTGTCGCCTTCAAATGACTAATACCTTCGAACGCATTCCAATTAAACGCGTTTGGACGCGTTAATGTCTGGCTGATTAATGGTTAATGTCTGATTTCAGACGTTGGAAAAGGCATCATCTCTCATCTCATTCTAAACCTATGTTTACAATGCGATGGAAGAAGTTCTGCTGCTGATGCACCACTCCTAGAGTATACAGAAGTTTGCAAAGTGCAGTAGACTATTTTATGTAATCCACTAGACGCGGAGTGGCCTGGACTACTTTTTACACAAATGAACTGGATTGGACTCAAAATTTTGAGTCCATACCCAGCTCTGGTACTTACCATATGGTGGCTGTGTCACTCTTAACTGATATTCGCATGATAGATATTTTTTATACTGGAAACATCGATATATCCTTGTGCATTGATAAACCCGAATGAACTTGTTCAGTAACATTTTTATGATTCATATAAACGTTGAAAAATCATTTTCACTAATCACATTTCATTTAAAAGTTCCATTCTACGTTCGACGAGACATGGAAACAAGTTAAATTATACGTTGGTAGGATGGTGTACATGCAGTTATAATGTACATAAATCAATATAAAAATATTCAACGTGATTTCTGTATATATTAATTGCCCAGTGCAAGGCACAGATAATGTCAGTCCGTATAGATGCTGGTAAAAATGACAACAAGTAGATCATAGTTATATGGTACTTTTAATGTTTGGACTCATTTTTTTTAAGTTTTTTTAAAATTTTTATAAACTAATCACTTTTCATTTCGGTATTTTTGCGGGCTTTTATTCATTTTTGTATTGTCCTATATACAGGGTATTATTATAGTATTATTTATGTCCAGAAGTAAAGAAAGAATAAAATTGCAGTTTTGATGTTTGCCGATTGAGTTAAAAACATATGCCGTGACCCGGGATCGAACCAGGGACCTTTAGATCTTCAGTCTAACGCTCTCCCAACTGAGCTATCCCGGCGGGTAATGAAGAATGATATGGCATTCTGATTCAGAAAAGATGTAGCAAACTAAATTTGCTTAAACAGTTGAACAGACGAACAGATTCCAGATTAAATTTGCGGCTGAAAATCCCTAATGAAAAAATTTAAAATGGAACAAGGTAAATTTTTTTGAAAGAACAATAAAATCTCTGCGTTTTATTTTAAAATCTTTCCTATCCGTCGTATCGTTGCGATTGCTATCTTTGTATTTATTCTTTTACAAACATTTTACATAATCTGGTAAAAAACAAAAAAATTTACAGTAACAAAATTTTATCCATCTCCTCTTTCAATATAATCTTTAAATCTGGCTCGTTGTTGCTCACGTTCAAAATAGCGTTGTTGTTCAACGAGAAAAGTTTCTCCTATCGTTCGTTTTTCACATAGTCTTTTAACTTTTTCCAAACGTGTTTCATTCGCTATACGTCTTTTTTCTGCTGCTATGGGTAATCCACTTAACAGTTTGTCTCCATCAACATTCGTCTTTTTTAAGTTTTCTTTATCATTCATTTGTTTTCGATTATGACTTTTAGTTGTCTCTGGTCCTTCACCAATATCCAAATCATCATCATCTGATACATAGCCAAGTGGTCGTTTTTTTGGCTTTAACTTCGTTGTTGTTGGTGGCTGATGTACTAAATCTGCGTCGTTAATAATCATTTCATCATCATTATTCGTTCGGTGTTCTCTTTCAATTGCTTTTGCATGTTTTTCTTTTGCACGACTGTACATTTCATCTGTCGATGTTATCGTCTTATTTGTTTCTGATTTATCATCAACATACTCATTTTCATCATCATCCAATTTTTGTGTCCTCAATTGGCGCGCTATTCGTGCTTTTTCAACTAATGTTAATTTGGTTGATTCATTGTTTGATATTACATCTAAATAAAAAACATAATGACATTAGTTTAATGATTAATCTCAAAAACAATTCTTAAAAATACCTGCATCACTTTTTGATTCAGTTTTGATTTTTTCACTTTCTTCTAATTCTACAATTTCACCTAGAACAAATAAAAAAAATTTAAAAACAACTGTTTTTTTTTTATAGAAAATAGCTAACGGACCTGTTTGTACTTTGAATTGATATCTACAAAATGCATCAAAATTACATTGTTTTTGAACATCTAATAATGATTCTCGTTGTTCTTCGAATTTTTCTTTTTCTAAATCTCGTTGTCTTTCGGCTAATTTTAATCGATACGCTGTTGTGATAAATGTTTCTTTATCTTTATATAAATCTCCTTCTTTTTCACGTTCACGTTGTATTTTTCGTTCTAAACGATATTCATGTTGTTTCTCTCGTTCTTTCGCCGCCTCTTGAATACCAGCAACATATAATGGTTTACGTTCTTTTGTTTTTCGTTCTTCTAGTTGTTGTCTTCGTTTTGATTCATTGATTGCCGTTGAACTTATTTCATCGTACACTGTATCATATTCATAAATATTTGGATCTTCTTCTAGGGCTTTTTCAATCTGCATTTGAACATTATGATTTAATTTCATACGATTTTGTTGAGTTTTTTGTTCGCCTGGTTTCTGTTGTTGTTTTGTTGTATTTCCATCGTTATCATCTTCTTCATCCAAGTTAAATGCAGCTGTTAGTGGTCGAATTTGCGTCGTTGGTTTTCGCTGTTGTTTAGAAACAAACGATAAACCATACACGTTTTTTGGCAGCGGCCTAGTATTATCTTCACTAGTCATAATAATAAAATTTATTCTAAAAAATAATAATAATAAAAGCAAAAGAAAAGAGATAATTAAAGAGGAGTCCTTCACATAAATGATATAGATAGTCTCTTGAAATGAATGCATTAAGTTTGCTCGAACGCTAAAATATATCGAATGGACATAATAGGATGATATAATAGATTTAATAATATCGTTAATAAACAGTTTTGTTTATTACGGAATGTATTAACAAGAGGAACTCCATTGTCGTCATCAAATATCACAAATAAAATGTGATCAAACTGCTCGATAAAAACCAAAAAGATAATAGCTATAACGTCGAATTGATTCATCAAATAAAATGCGATGAAAATGGTGATTTAAATTTAGAAGAATTATTAGAAGGTATATCATTCGTAGTTGCTATATCGTTCTCAGATATTTTTTTGTTACATACAGTTCTTTTCACTGTGAATCGTAAAATAGACTGGTTATTCAGATTTAATGTTTCCTTAAAATGTCGAAAACTAAAAATTTCCACAGTGGAAATGTCGACTAATGGTTTATAGTAAGAAAAACTGTATTTAACAAAAATATCCAACAGAAAATATTGAATCAACAATAACACCAAAAACAATTCTCTACTTTATCTCATTCCATTACAACAATAAACCTTTTCACCATTTTCAAAGGATTGATTATTATTAATGAATTAATTCGACGCAACATTTAATTAAATGCCAAATCTTAGGATGATGTTTATTAATTTGATTATTAAATCTATAATGTTATCCAGCACGCAATAGAAGTGTTAAATTATCCTTTAGTTCATCAAATGTAAATGCTAAATAACAACAAAAGAAAACATACAAGAGAGTCCGACAGAATTAGAAATGTACGGTCAGATAATAAACCAATAATACATTGATATGCTGAAAACTAAACTTATTTTCGATATTATCAAAATCACAAAATTGTGCCTTTATCCATTATTCAAAGCATGAATGGTATATATTTGACCAAAATAACAATAACCGTGTTATACTAACTGTTTTATCAGAAAATAAATATTATTTTTGATTCAAAGTAGGTCAGTGTTATTCTACATCTCTACTTTCAAGATTTTGACTTTCAAGAAAATTCAAACATATCTCTTAAATCGTAGAAGAAAATCGCTCTCTTTAAAGTATCTAATCAAAGTTAAAAGTTGTGTCCTCCATATTTCTACTCATCTTTTTCGGATGCTGATCTTCATTAAAAGTCTCTTCTAACATTCAATCAGACGGTAAATTCTAAAAAGGATATATTTTTTTCAACCAAGATAATCTAGCAGTATTAATTCCACAACTGTCCTAGGTTAACCTCCGACAGAAAATACTAGATTGATTGATCAGCAATAAATAAAATTTTCGAGTGAACGGAAATGCACTGGTGAATATACTTGTATTTCAGCACTTCGCTTACATAATGTCGCGGGTATTTAACTTTTTCCACGAGTAAACTTTCTTGGTAGTACTAGCGCGGTCTCACTTATAAATACTTGATTCTTCACTTGGCATGTGCGTCACAAGTAGTTCAAGCACTTGTCTAGGTACAATCACATACCATTATGATCTATCATGGAGAGGAACACGGAGTTACCAGTTCGTCACAAATTTGGAAAATTAGACATTTCAGATGTGGGGATCCTAGTATAGCTCACATTTTAATTTGTTAAACGGAGTTATCTGTCAATAACCCTTGTCAAAAACGACCAGTGTCGAAATTTGAAAAAAACGTAAAAAAATACGTATTCATCAGAAAACTGCACTTTCATTGACTAAGATGATCAGCACATTAGCCTAAAGGCACGAGATAGCGTCGCACTACATAATTGTGTTTTCTCGTACTGTCTGACTGTATTTTAGTCAGAAGAACGTAAAATATTGAATAAGTTGACGTATTTTTTATGCTCAGGAAAGTAGTTTTGAGAACGAAATATTGTTTCGAAATACAGTTTCATAAAATTTCAGGCTTTTAAAGAAAAGTCAGTGAAAAAAATACCTGGAGATTGCAGTTTTCGTCCTCGATTCAATGGAATCAAAACTGCAGCTTAGTCTATCTAAATCCTCATTAAGTCAAAATTCAAACTGGAAAATTTTGTGACGGTTCCGCGCAATGAGGATATCTCAAAAATTTTTAGTTGCCGCCGGAAAACAACTTCACATTTAGATAGAGCGCAAGATTTACGTATTTGAGGTGATTTTCAGAATATGTATCACTAACTGTATCGAAAAAGGAAAGTCGAAGAAATTTTTAACGTTTTTTAAGTAGTTCGGAGTCACTTTGAATTCTTGCTCCTATTTTTTTTCTCTTGACAGCTACATTTTAAGAATTTTAAAGTTACCTGCTAATGAGAGGAGCAATTAACAGGTAATTTCTTTCAACGATTTTATTTCGGATCCGCTATTTTTACCGTTTAATTTTCACGTTGAAAGCAGTTATGTGCTTTAGGCAGCTGTTATTGGCAAATAACGTCTTACAACGAAATTTTCATTTGCGATAAATCTAGACGTTTAATTGGCAAAAAAATAACCATTTAAAACACAGAGACTGACCGCTTTGCTCTTCTCATTTCTTTAACAAAGTTCGCAAATACCAATGCTGCCATTTTTTAGACAAAGACAAAATTTTCTGTCGGCTGTGACATTTTCGAACATTTTTCATAAAATTGAAAACGGATGAGCTAGATACGTGACACCGTGTTGCAAGCTCTGAAGGCTTATTCTGTGCGCTCGAAACCGATCAAAACGCATAAGTCAAACGAGTAAGGCGTTTCAAACGCGCATATTGTCTGTTTCAATCGACTTGGGCCTTCTTGGCACTTATTCTGTAATAATAATATATTATATAATTATAATTATTTGTAGTCAGATCGATGTCCGTTCTTTAACAACACAAGAATAATGGCTAAAATTTAACGAATGAAAAGGCATTGCCCCTGAACAAAGGCTATTGAGTTGAGTGAATTTGTTGAATAAACAAATCTTGAATTTTTCTTTGCCTTATTGAAAAAAAGACGCAAAGCTTTTCTTTCGAGATTGAGTGCTCTTAACAAAGAAGTATTTATTAAGTGATTCCGTAAGATATATAGATTCTTTTCTTTTAGACTTATCTTATTAGTTTGTACATTTTATCCGTGTAAATTAAACAAACGACAACAAATGATCAGCTAGATCGTATTAATAGCTCTTACGCACATAGTCCCTCGTTTTTTTGTTGTCTTATCATTCTTTGTATGGCACTGATAGAGAATTGATGTTTTCGACAGCAGCAATTAAATCAGGTGGTAAACATTTTGACTTTAATATCGATGGTAATATCGCTGATTCGTGGAAAACATTCTACGATGCAAAAGATTCTTTGAAACACGTTGAACAACGTCTTCAAAACACATTATCATCAAGCAGAAATGGCAGAGCAGAGCAGACGTCAGTTGGCATGCATCCGTACGATAATTTGTCATCAACATCATCCAACTATTTATCAATTCAACCTGTTAATCGGACAATGTTAAAGGATGATGTACAAGGAAGAAGTTCTCGGACAAATAATTATCATCGTACAATAAATAGCAATAGTTTTTCAACTGCTCCTCACTATTTACATGATAACGAATCACGTATTCGTTCGTCGGATCCAAAATCAATGAATTATGTCGATATACCAATTATGAACGATAAAAATGTATTAGATTATAGAATGGTCGAAAATAAGCGATCAATAAATTCCACTCATTTAGATACAGATGCATTTTTGCAATCAATTAGACGGAAAATTAACAAACAAAAGTTGGCTGCAGGTAAATTTACCGTGTAGATTTGTTTTTTTTGCAAACGGATGATTTTAAATCACCATACATTTAGAATTGAGTGTGTGTAATCACCGTTCATTCGATAAGTGTGAACAAGACTCAGTGCTTCTATCATCTGAATGCAAAGAAAAAGCCCTACAAACAAAGCTTAAGGACCCTGTCGGATTTGGTAACCATATCTGGATTGAGAAACCAAATATTTTATCTTGAAGAGCAGCTTGAAGCGCGTCGAACGGTATATAGGAAACCATGTTTTCATTAAGTTTTGGACGAACTAGGGTCAATTTACTGATGGAGTGCTATCAGCACAAATCATGATCAATGGCTGATCAATGTTACCCCAGTGTCAGTTGAAGAAGTCTGTGAAAAATATTTCGTACGTGCAGTTTTGTAGAGCTTTTCATCGGCTACAAGCTCACATATCTAATATCTCCGACCGTCTCATCTTCAGTGTTTTCGATAGTAGTTTTTGTGGGGTGTAGCGATCCTGCTAGTAACTAAAGTTTTTTTATTGAGTAACGCATTTTCTGAGTAACTCAGTTACTCAGAAGCTAGAGAAATCAGGTAGGTGCATAAAAGGCAGTTTCTCAATTTAAATTTTTTAAAAAAATTGAGTAAATGTATCCAAACGAGGGGATGGTATACCATCCCCTAATCAATAACACTGCTCATCTTAACAGAGAAAAATGAGATTTTTCAACGACTTGGCATCATCTTTCACGAACAGTCGACTATGGTGGATCTCAATGTATTGAGATGTGTCAGTCACAGAAGATGTGAGCATGCGCCAAACCTTGTCATAAATTGCGCATAAGATAGAGCTACAAAACGCACTATTTAGAAGTTCTTCAACAGCGGAGCGTGGTATCCAAAATTACCTTGCATTGAAAACTACTAACCAAATTTTTAGACCCATTTTTCTCTTTTAATTTCGAAAAATTTCATTTTTTTGGTCCAATCATACTCCTTCTTCCAATCGAAGACCGTATTTGTGATCAGCAAGCAAAACTGCATCAGATGGGCTATATCTGAAGATTCCAGTGTGTAAATTACCCTTCCTGTACTCGTCGTATGTCAAATTCTAGTAATGATTCTCTTTTCTTGAAATTTTTTAAGTTTTCCAAATCCATCTAGTTTATTTTGTAGCCGACTTTTTTGTTTCATTAGAAGCACCACTAAACGAGCTTTAAAAGTACGGGTTTTTTAACTTTGCTTTAATACTAAGAAAATATATTTTTTCTAAATCAGGAGCGAAAACATCGAAATTCTGCCCAAAATTCTTTATTTTGTCAACAAAAGAAAGGCAAATCAAAAAATCTCGGTTCTGAAAAAAAAGGAATCGTCTGAGAAATCGCAGTTCCGATTCCCGATGAAGAACCGAAAATAAGAGAACCACGATTCCGGTTCCTAATGCGGACGGAACCGAACCGCGATTCTGGTACTTCACGAGAACCGAACATCCCAATGTACCATATCATCTTTTTAACTTACTAATAATCTATCTTTAAGGATCGAGATACTAATCTCTCCTATGATCCACAAATGATTTCAAAATTATGATTTAATTAATACAAAGTTTGAAAACAGCTGCTCATGAGAAAATTTGAAGTCAAAGTTTTTTCAATACAACGAGCTTTCGAAAATCATTTTTCATTTCCTGTTTCTCACAACTCAGAAGGATTACGTAGTTCTTGTATCTTCTAATAGTTAAATAATCTATGATTATATGACAAGATGATGGGAATTCAGTTAGTTCTTCAGAGGTTAAATCAGGCCTCTCGTCAACGGAAAATTAGTTGAGCTTACCGAAGTTTTCAAAAGTATTTGATGTGCTGTATCTCAAAACGGAACATTGGTAACTGACAGAAATGTGTAAAGTTTTCTTCCGGGGCGAAAATTCGCATTCGCGGCGAACTGAATTAACGGGTGACGCATCATAAACGGTCCAAAATCTTTTATTTTTGAAACACTTCCGAATGACCTAAAAATTTGGTTCTAGTCGTATTCAATGGAGAATTGAACTCTCTACAAAATCTGCTATTTGAATCTCTGATAGCACTTTCCCTTTTGAGCACCATTCAAAATATTGAATAGTGCTAAGTGAAAATGGAAAAATATATTTTTATGCAAAAACAGATTCCATAAGAATTTTGAAAACATCAGAAGATTAACCGGAAAATTTTGCATCTTCTCACATATTTTTCGAAATTTTGCACTAGGAAAATTTCTCTTCGCAAAAAAAGTGATAAATCGACAAAAAACCTAACTTTTGAATCTATTTTTCATAGACTTTAGTTTTTTGCCTATAAAAGCAGTAAAACGTTCTGAATCCAGGGTTTTAGCCTTGTTATCTTACACAGAATTTAATTCTGCATCTTTTGTTATGTAAACAAAGTTTCTCAATTGAAACCATTAATTAAAAAATTTAATTTAATTTGAAAAATTTGAAAGGCCGGTTGAGAACTAGTTATGAGTTCAGCTGACGTAGCGGAAACATTGTAATGACATTGTAAATGAGTGAGATCGATAGAGCACGAAATTCTCTATCTTTCTACCTCGAAAAAATAACTATTGAACCCCAGACAATGGGCTAAAAATCTCAAAAAAGGACAAGACAAAAGCGCGTCGCAGTTTGAGAACTTAGCACTATTCAATATTTTGAACGATGCTCAAAGAGAAAAATGCTATCAGAGATTCAAGTAGCAGATTTTGGATAAGACTAGAACCAAATTTTTAGGTCACCCGTAAGTGTTTCAAAAATAAGAAAAGATTTTAAACCGTTTATTATGCGCTACCAGCTATTTTTTACTTTTTCGTTACGCAACATGCCTTCATACTGACTACAGACTTGCAATGTTTATTTTTTCTCTCACTAGTTCAGGCTACCATATAGGTCATATAGCCTCGCTACTCACTCTCACGTCATCCGTACTCCCTCCCCCGCCCCCGGCATACATCCATACAAGCTGTCTATCTGGTAAAATTTCACAGTGTCAAGCAGTCATAAGTATTAAAGGAAGCAAAACATAGAGAATTCGCAACCGATCCTTACCTGACCTACATGGTGACCTGAAAATAATAGAGAATTTGCAAACATATTTTATACACCAGACGCATTCTTATCATTCATTGCATACCGAAATGAATTCCCACCGAATGCAAATTCATTTTATAGAAAATTGATGTCTCCACGAACATGTAATTTCCGGGCTATGTAGAAACGCTAATGACAAGTGAGAAAACGATTATTTTTCTCATTCAAATCTCATAACAATGGACACATTTATCGTCGCAGTAATGTGCACTATTATCGTTGATTCATTTGAAAATCTTAGCCAAGTCAAATTTTTACTACCTTTCAATTGTTTTATCGACTCCATTTGAAGAAAACAGTTTCGCACGTAGCAGTAACAAATATTATGTTATAGTTTTATATTTTAGAGCGACGCGCCGATACTCTAAATTCACAATCTGAAGAACTAAGTCATTATAAACATTCACTTCCATCTTCCACACCATCATTATATTTTGATGGACATCAAAACGGTAACAGTAGGAATAATAATCATTATTCAACATCATCAAGTTTACAAAATTTACACTATACACCCCACAATAATCGACATCATTCAACAAACGAGAGAAATCCTTTACCAACGACTATAAATAGCGGACATTTATCACAATCACAATCTTATTCCGCTGAATTAGATGCTGTTTTAAGAGTACAAGAAAATCATGATCACACCGCACAAAAACGATTGCTACACACGGATGGTGACATTATTTCATCACCAGATTACAATTTTCAAGAATTTCATCAACCAAATTCGCGAAAAATACCCAAAGCCTCAAGTAAGTTCGATGCATTTGTGCACTAGATACATTTAAAGATGAATATTTTTGTTTTATTTTCTTAGAAGATATACCGTTGATAGATCGTCCAACGGCGGATACATTAAAAAGTACTATAAGAAGTGCGAGTGCGTCAACAACAAAACGTGAGCAGTATTTATCTACATGTAAAGTCCATAATAGATCAACTTTTTTTCTCTATAGACCGGGATTTTTCTTCATTACCAAACAATGACATGCAGCGGTTAAAGAACACTCGTCGATTAGAGTCAGTACATGTAACATCGGCAAAAACAAGTATGTTTGACGTCATTGATTTCACTCCCATGATAATACTTTGTGTTTTCTACCTAAAGATCTAACAGGAGTAGAATCTTGGCAAACTGATCCGACTAAAATGTTCAAATCACATCAACATCCAAAATCATCGAATAAACACGTTCAAGATGAATTAAAAAAATTGAAAGAAGACGCACAAATCCTATCTAAACCGACACAAAAAATGTTCGAAGAATTATTGATAAGTGATGAAATTTTATCGAATAAAATAAATAGTTTAGAAAAACCCAAATCATCGAAAAAGTCTTACGATAGTATCAAACCTAAACATAATACAAGCAAGTGAAAAAAAAAGATTTTTAAGCTAACTAACACATTGTCTTTTCAACGATGCCATTAAATCAAACGATGAAATGGTATCAAAAAACTAACAATATTCATCCTTTAAACGTTTCAACTCTATCCATGACAGATTAATTCTTGTTTAGAAAATGATATAAAAAAACCTGTTTGTAAAGTTCCCCCCTATGAACGTTCAGCAAAAGATCAAATTCAAGAATATATTCAACAAAAACGACAACAAAAACAAGAAGAAAGTTTATTGAACGATAAACGTCACAAAGATGAACAAGAAAAACAGAAAAGGGATAAACTTAAAAAATTTCATGAACAAATACAAGCTGTACATCAACAACAACAACTATTATTATCAAATAAAACATTAGATGAAAAACAAAAGAAAATTTCAATACCAGGACAACATACAACAGTAAGTAACAGATCTATTAATCAGATGCAACCAACAATAAGCCATACATCTTTCGATCATGTGTTGAATAGTGTCTACTTTACTCATTTATTTAAAATCGAGTGGAAAGTGTACAATCAAAACAACAGATATTACAAACTTCAATATGATGCTATTTTTAGATACCAATAGCACCGATAATTTCTTTTAACGATGTGTCTGAGCAAGCGCGTCAACAGAAGTTAGTCCGTTTACTTGGGCCAAAACCAGAAACAACTAATGTTACTATGACTGAATCACAATTGTCTCATTCAATTTCAACATCGTCTGTATCATCATCTTCAAGTTCACCTTCTACATTCAGTGTTATTGAATCTAACAATCGACCAAAAAAGTAAAAATTTTGATAATTTTTCACTTTTAAAAAATATATCGATTATTTTTGTGTCTAGTCATGATTTAATGTATCGAGCATCATCTCAACCGCCATCGCAAATACGTAAGTAATTTACATCTGGTATCATCAAAATACGTTGGATTTATTATTCTTTTCTTACAGGATCACCTCAAATACAAACAGAAAATCGACAAGATGGTTTGCTAAAATGGGCAATCAATTTAAAAAATGATTGTGATAATGTACAAGAAAACTTACGAACTTTCAAACTAGGTAAGACAAAAGAGTATTGCAATTAGTTTTTAGTTGAAATATTTGTTTAAGACTTTTATTTTAAATATCTTACTCTTTCGAAAATTGCCAATATTTATATTTTGTCTATAGATGGTACTCATAAATCTGAAATAATTTCAACTCAATTTGATTCAAACGATAACAATCTGAATCAAGAAGGAAATTTAAGACATCATGTTGCCAGTAACACTCACTATGTTTCAGCTGTTCAACCAATTTATTTAATGAATCAAAATCAAAATAACAGTGAACAACAATATCGTTCATCAGAATTTCTAAGATCAACTGAACGTTTGAGTCGACAGAATCGAAATTGGACAAGTGAATTTAATATAAATGTGCCAGATATGGGAGATTTAAAAGATCCATTATTAATTAAACGAATTCAACGTGAACAAGCTGCAGGAAAAATTCAGGCAGCTTATCGTGGTTACACAGTGAGAAAATCATTACAATGGTCAATTGAAAATGATAATTATGATAATAGACAATCAAAAAATAAGGTAACATATATTATTATCTTTCTCATTCTGTATAACCGGTCATTTTTTTTTCTTATTAGGATAAAAGATTATTTCAACAATACCATCATCCATTAAAAAATGATCCTGGTTTAGTTGAAGGTATCGATTTTAAATTCAACGATGATCACTGTACAACCGGCAGTACAATGTTGGCTAGCCAAACTTATCAACTTCAACAATCATTGCGAACTCACCAACAGAAAAAATCTCATTTATCATCAATTTATTCAGATGATCATGGAAATTATTCATCAATTTTATCTTCGCCCGTTCATATTCAACAAAGAAAGCACATCACTGATACGCATCAATCAAATCAACATCCGTCTTTAAATTTGGGTACGTATATTGACACTTTTTCACACGAAAAACAACAAAACATTAGCTATGTGTGTATTGTTGGTTTCTTCTTAGGTGAAAATCGTCTTCAAGCAAACACGTCATCTTCTCCAACTCATACAGTACAGAACGATCAAGACGATGAAAAAACAGCACGAGAATCTTATATCTTCAAAAACTCAAATGAGAAGCAACGCCGTCGTTCATTTTCACCACCTTTACCACCTCAAATGTCTCCCGACAGTGGACGCCCTATAAACTCTATGACAACTCTTCCACCACCACAATCTCACCATCGACTATCAGCATTACATTATGATTTTGAAGATAAGCGTTTTTCGCCAGATGCCCTAGAAAGACAATTAACTCGTGGATTCAATCCATTTGAAGGCATTGAACAATCCACAACACAAATCGATAATGTAGATAAAATAAGATCATTAGCATTAGCTCAACAAGAAGCTTTATCAATGACACATATTTTAAAAAATGTATGTTAAACTGATTGGAAAATCGAGGAACAGTTGTTCTACTAGTTCGCACTTATCTCTTCTGCAATTTTTAGATGCGACAGCGTGATCCATTAGATAATGAACAAGTTCATAGCAAACAATTACAGTCAAAAAAGTACGATTACTTTGCATCAATATATTTTGAGTTTAAATTTCTCTATTCAATTTCTTTTAGAATGTCTTTTCGTCATAGACTACAACAACAGAAGTCTGCATCACCATCTCCATCGTCATCTCCTTCACACAGTCGTCGTCAGTTTGATCGATATTCACCACCACTACAACAACAACAGTGTCGACGCACAATAAACCAAAGTCCGCCAACATCTTCATCTGAATCGTAAGTGGTTTCTCTCTTTTTCTAATCTTTAAATATTTTTTGGTTCATTATTATCAAATTATGTCAATGATACTCTATTCATATTTGTTAATAGCAAAAAGTACTTTGTTATTTCAGGACAATGTCGTAGAATATAAAATTTCACACCGAGGAACAATATTGCTTAACAGATACTATTCATTTTCTTTTCTCTAGATCTTTAGTTAACAGATTCACACAATTCGAAAAATAATAAATTCACTCATTTCATTTAACCAACGAGGGAACGAACATTCTCTAGTGTCACTCTGGAATTTTAGCGAAACATAGCGTCTTTAGTAAAGTAAACTATGCTAATCATGAATAGAATGATTTAAGCTGTTACTGTTCGATGCTTGCTGAGTTAGAGCAATTTTAATTCTTTTAGTCGAAAATTCTTAATTTTCAATCGATGATATCGTTTGACGCGTATATCAGAAAAGCTCATCGAACTCATAGTTTTGTACAGAATTTCCTTTCATTCCAAAGTGACACTAGGGAATATTCTCACCTATACTCAGTTGTTCCCATCTAGACAATGTCCGTAACATATAATAAATTAACTATTCATTTAACTTTTTTCATCGCGAAAGATATGTTTTCATCAAGGCGTGGGTAATTTAAAATATAAAACTATAATTCTTGAAGGTTGCCTCTGATGGTGATATGTGTGTGGGAAACAGCTCTCTCATGGTAGTTGTAGACAGTTGATAGTCTACATTTTTTATCACAAATAAATTTTTTATGCTCTGTTTTTCTTTCTTTACTAGCAAATATGAATTGACACACACTAATATGTTAAATTTCTTTTTGTTGTCAACTATAAGCACAGAAATACATTTAGTAATGGAATAAATCTAACAGAAGAAATCTAACAAGAAGAGCTTCTTTACCAATAGAGATTCTATATGATGGTCTTCGAAGCCAACGAAGTTCTATTGACTTGAGTAATATTGAAGGATGACTATTTGAGAAAGAGAAAACATCTGATTAAATTCGTTTTTTGCAAATTGCCTTGTCTGTTGTATAGATCTACTTTCTTGTAAGACCAACGAAAAGGCAGATACGTTCGGTTAATTTAAGGATGATCCGCCTCCTATCAAAAAACGTCATTTATCGTCAAAAATATGGATTTTGAGATTAACACATGGTTGAATAGACCAGACTTTCAGCGTCTGCGCAGAGATTTCTGTGCCAGAAATAAATTTTTTATGATTCCAGAGGAAAATTTTTGAAAATCTCGAAAAATAAAATATTTAAATTTTAGTTCTTTCCATGATGCTTATGCAATTAAACTATTTTCTAAACGCGTTCGATTTGTACAGCAACCTTTTCTGGTCAAAGTGTGACATAACATAACTCTGTGTGATCTTCTGTTAAAAAGTTACAAGCATTTTTTGTACGGATCCTCTAATACACTAACGAATACACGGCATTTTTTTCGACATTATTTTCTTGAATTTTAGTTGTTTGTGCACCAAAGATTCCTCTGCTATTTTGACTGCTAAAAAGTTTGGAATGATCTCAAAATGTAGCCAACACTTGGTGTTACAACCTAGCAGAGCCGGATGTTGATTTTCAATCTAATTCTTAAGGAATACGACGTTTCTTCAATGTTAGCCGAAATTTCCTCCAACTTTTCTGTATAAAAACTTTGAAAAACTTTGACTCTACTAAATTGTAGCACCAAGTCTTGAAGCTACATTTTGAGAGCATCCCGAACATAGCAGAGAAATCTTTGCAGCATGAATACGTACTTCTTGATACTTATTTTAGAATAACTCTAAGAAAACTCAACAGTTTGGGCTCAAAACTTTAACGTCACTCTTCCAGAATAAGACACACATTCTTTAAAAATTTTATCAAGATCGAATATTCTGTGATGGTGAAAATAGATTTCTAATCTCTTAATGTCTGTTACCATCTCGAACATTAGAGGAGATTTAAGAATTATCATCATTTTTCAGAGTCCAAGATGTTTTTATTAGAAGAATTTTTATCGTAAAAATTATGATAAATTGTACTTTTACATTCTCATACGATGTTTAACATTCTATTCCATTTCAGTTGAAATCATATACACGAAAAAAATTTATTTGGGTGAAAAGCGTAGGAATGAGAGTACTTAATATACACAAAGTCAAAGAAAAAAGTTGACATCTTTCGCTAACGGTTGCTTTGCTTAAAATAATCTGAATAATATTATAAACACAAATGAGAAAAAAAAACAAACAGGATTTTAGTCCGTATTTCTTCTCAAATATCTTGGTAAATTAAGGTTATTTTTATAATTCATTTTTGAACGTTTATAACCATACAGGTATCGTTCATCTCTTCCACCCATTGATCGGAGAGGGTATACATCGCCGACATTTCTATCATTATAAGCGAAATAATCTTCAAATGAGGAAGTTAATGGGTGTGGACGTTGTTCTTCACCATAATTTTCTCTTGATTGAATAGTTATAAATTGATGGCATAAAAATAAAAGACATATAAAAGAGATATATCCGGATAAATAATAAACCATTTTATTTTTAATAGATAAAATAAATTCTACAAAAAAAAAAAATTTAAGTAAGAATTTAGTAATAAAAATTAATTTTAAAAATCAAGAAAGTTTCTAACACAAAAAAAAAGTGTTTAGTAATAATAATTACGATAATTTAGATTTTTCTTTACATACACGCATCTTTCTATGTACTATGTTACAACTTTATTCATCGATAGAAAAAAAAATATATATATTCTATTTGTTAAGTAACTGTTTATCTATAGTTTATGGTTACTAGATTGCATAAGTTCATAGAATAGACTACTAACTAATCTGTAAAGTGAATACCTACAATATACCAATTATAAGAGTGTGTTTAATCTTGTATGACAAAAAGTTGTTTTTTTTCAAATGTTATCGAGAAAAACCGTTTATTTCATATTTTTAGAATTACAATTTTCTCCTATATTAGAATATTTTGATAAACCTGAAAGGTATCAACATTCGATGTTTTATGTCTTAATAAAAATAAAAACTATCCTTAAAAAGTCAAAATGAGTATTGTTGTTTGAGAAAATAAAAAAAATTATTAATTGTTTTCATAGAGATTTTTCATTAGTTTTTCATCATCAAAATGCATGACATTTAACAATTTTTCAATATTTAGTAATAATAACTACGATAATTTGGATTTTTCTTTACATACACGCATCTTTTTATGTACTATGTTACAACTTTATTCATCGATAGAAAAAAAATATGTATATAAAACTCGACTTAAATTTAATTATATTTAGTACTTTTACAACCGCCTTCTTAGTTACTAGAGACTCAGACAGAATTCACTTCTGAAAGAATCAAAGAAAATACCACGACCGGTTTCGACCTTTCTCAACCTTTCGACCAGAGAAAGGTCGCAACCGGTCGTGGTATTTTCTTTGATTCTTTCAGAAATGAATTCTGTCTGAGTCTCTAGTAACTAAGAAGGCGGTTGTAAAATTACTAAATATAAAAAAATATGTATATTTTATTTGTTAACTGTTTATCTATAGTTTACAGTTTCTAGATTGCATAAGTTAGAAAGAATAGACTACTAACTAATCTGTAAAGTGAATACCTACAATATACCAATTATAAGAGTGTGTTTAATCTTGTATGACAAAAAGTTTTTTTTTTTTTCAATGTTATCGAGAAAAACCGTTTATTTCATATTTTTAGAATTACAATTTTCTCCTATATTAGAATATTTTGATAAACCTGAAAGGTATCAACATTCAATGTGTTATATCTTAATTAAAAGAAACTATCCTTAAAAAGTCAAAACGAGTATTTTTTGCTTGAGAAAATAAAAAAATTATTAATTGTTTTCATAGAGATTTTTCATTAGTTTTTCATCATCAAAATGCCATTTGACATTTAACAATTTTTCAATGATTACGCACAAACTTACGTGGTCAAAGTTAGACGTACACTATTGTTGATTGAAAATTTATTAAATGAAAAAAAGAGAAATGAAAAGTAGAAAAGAATATAGTCGGATAAGAACCATAATAAATCATACTCAAGTTTTCCTATTGCTTTTTAAAAGGATTCAATATATAAAAATTTGCATGTGTTTAGTTGTTAGTTTATGTGTGTGTGTGTGTGTATAGTATAGAGTACAAACAATAGCCACCCTTTTTGAAGTAATAAAAAAACCTTGTCTCTGTCTGATTAAAAAGTTGCGTTTATAACTCCCAAATGATTTTAATATATATTGATGATAAATAGACATTTTGTTGTCCCAATAGTATATCAGTCTTTTTATTTACAAAAAAACAATTAGTAATGATGTTTATGCTAAATGTGTAACTAAAATATTGATGAATTAATTAATTTGGTTTCTCATGAGCTCGTTTTATATTTATTTCTCTTTTGCATACGATTGAAAATACAAATAAAATATTATTATTTGTAAAGTGACAAAGATTAATTGGTACTAACAATATTTGTTTAAAAAAAAATATAAGAAGATTATTTTTAATGTTTTTGATAAGATTATGGCAAGATAAAATTTTAATGGATATACATATATTTATATTAGCATTGAATTGTGTTCATCTGCATTAATAAAAATATGCTAATTATTATTGTTATTATGCAAACATTTATTCTTTAATAACAAACATATAGCTTTCTTTGTAGAAGTTAAAACGAAAAACACAAACATGCTTTAATCTCTACTCTCTTCTCTAAGATAGTTGTGTGCAGTGATAATGATTACAGATTTTTGACTGCTCTTATTTTTCTTCTCTACAAAAATGTTTTATGCTAATTCAGTGTGATCTACTTTAACTAATTTATTTATTTAAACTCTTTTGCTTGTTCCATCTGATTTTTATTGTTTTTAGAATATTAACGGCTCGCGAAAAAAAATTTCGTCAAAAATTTAACAGTGAGCAAGAGGTTGAAGCATGGGGAAAACGTTTAAAAGATGTTGAAAAAAAATTAAGAACATTAGAAAAACGAGGTAAGTATGATTAATATACCATCTGCATAAATTCAAAAGAAAAAGATCTAAAAATAACTAATCTATCAAATAAATTACGAGATAGTTCGTTCCAGGGGCATTTTAATATTCACACCATTAATAAGGATATTTTACGAACTATCTAATACAATCATAAAATTTTGCAATGAAATCAAACAATATGCTAAACAATAGTCAGTTTCTTTAGAATAGTTAGAGTTATAGCACTGCCTGTAAAATAAAATCATAGGAATAATCATTTTCGAATAACACGCAGACGAAAAGAACTAGCTACCTCCGGTTTTCGCCATGCGAAAGAAGAGACTTGGAAACATGTTTTCGCAAGCGAAATAATTTCCCGAAGAGTTTTTTGAAACAGGTTTTCTAGGAGATCTTTGAAAAGCCAGGTTGTATCTAAAAGTTTTCCAATAGGATTATACTGATTTTTTGTATAGACTAGTAGCACGAGATCTTCTCTTCAAAATGGGAGTCAAGCGAGATCTTGATTTTCCACGGTTAGGGCGTTCTATCGGATTTCCTACGAGCCCCAGGACTGGCACCCGATGACTATTAGTAATATTGAAAACTGATGGATTATAGGTAATCGGTCATGCTGAGTCTTGTGGCAATATTTGTTTTTAGAAAAAGATTTAAAAATCTAATGATATTAAGCGAGTTTTACGAAAATTTGGATTTTCAGGTTGTTGTCACCTAATACTAAAATATTTATAATTCAGTCAATAAACATCAGAACAAATTCAAAACTTCAGAATGCAGAGCATTTACCCTCTTCTATATCCTATTTATAGAAGATCCAGAAAGAGATTTTATAAAACTCTAAAGTTTTCCGAAAGGGTTCCTGGAAAACTCATTAACAACACTATGGCTTTTCATCTTTTCGATCTTATGATCACGTTTAGCGGACAAAATTAACCATATCCTGAAGTTTTGAATTCGTTCTGATATTTATTGACTGAAGTATCAATTTTTTAGTATTAGGTGACAACAACCTGAAAACTCAAATTTTCGTAAAACTCGCTTTTCATTAGATTTTTAAATCTTTTTCTAAAACAAATATTGCCACAAGACTCAGCATGACCGATTACCTATAATCCATCAGTTTTCAAGGTTACTAATAGTCATCGGGTGCCAGTCCTGGAGCTCGTAGGAAATCCGATAGAATGCCCTAACCGTGGAAAATCAAGATCTCGCTTGACTCCCATTTTGAAGAGAAGATCTCGTGCTACTAGTCTATACAAAAAATCAGTATAATCTTATTGGAAAACTTTTAGATACAACCTGGCTTTTCAAAGATCTCCTAGAAAACCTGTTTCAAAAAACTCTTCGGGAAATTATTTCGCTCGCGAAAACATGTTCCCAAGGCTCTTCTTTCGCATGGCGAAAACCAGAGGTAGCTAGTTCTTTTCGTCTGCGTGTTATTCGAAAATGATTATTCCTATTATATTATTTTACAGACAGTAGTATGACTATTACAAAAAAATGATAAACAATTGATTTTGTGAACAAAAAATATCTTATAAAGAGCTTGGCGAACATCATTTTCTATCTCTCTCTATAGCTGATGAAAGTTTATTATCTTGTGAAATGAAAAATTATCTTGTAGCAATGAGGATGATGATGATGAGAGGATTGTCGATGATAAACAATTCAAATTTCACTTTTTATTTTTACTATATGAGAATAAACGTAATGTATATAGGAAACAATCTTGAATTAAAAAAACAAGAAAAAATTATCGTCTGCTTTGTAGTCTTCTTTCGGAACTAACACTGGATAGCTTCCTTATTATTGTTATTTAAATTTGTTTGAAACTCATTTTTTTTTTAGAGAATTACTTCATCTGACATACATCTCAGCTTCTAAAATCGATCTTCTTTGATCAAAACCTGAATTATCGCTTATGCTCTATTAACCTGCTATATTTTTTTTATTCTTTTTATACATTAGATAAAAATTTTAAATTGATCTGTTAGATTAGACAGTAAATTGTAGAGGATTTTAAGGACTTGTTTGCGTACAATATTATATATGATCGATCATTGAATGAAAAAAAATTATTTTTGTCTCTTGTAGTTTTCAAATTAGTTCAATTTATTCAGTAATATTGGCTATTTTCTATTTTTTGTTTCTTTTAGCTGTTGAACTTTTTGATGATAAACGAAGTGTATCAAGTCCACCTAATTCTAGATTAAAAATCACTGGTAATTATCCAAAAGAGAAATATAATTGTAAAAATGCACGTTCAATCATTTTTTCTAGAACAACAACATCAACGATCAAAATCTACACCACTTGTTTTAAAGCAAACAAAAGATGATTCAACTATTAGCAGTGAAGATATACTATCAAAAGAATCAATGTACGTTACTGAAATAATTTTATCTATTTTTCAGTCAGTCATTTTCTCTTATTTTTTTTTTATAGTTTAAATGATTCTCAATCATCAGTAAATCAATCAATTGTACAAAAATCGTTTGGAATAACTGTTAATAATAATGATCAGAGTAAAATTAAAATAGATACTAATCTCTTGTGAGTATGATCATGATTTAAACCATAATCTTAGTATTCTTATTGTAATTTTTATTTAGTCGTCATAAATCGAATGATTATGACGAAAATTTTGATACGAGTATTCCAGTAACAACGACAAGTGTTGTGGTGTCTCAACGTAAAATTGATATTCATCCACCAATCACTATAACAACTAAACAAGTATCCGAAAGTGATGGAGAATCATTTTCTGTTGTTCAATCAGGTAAAATATATGAAAAATATATATAGTTTGTGTTCAAATTTTGTTTTTAGATATGACATCGGATATGAGTGATGTTGAATATCGTATTAAACAATTACGAGAACAACTAAAACGAAAAAAATTTGAATTAGATACATTAAAGAAAGATCAACGACGAAAAAATAAAGAAGTATTAAGAAAACAAGAAGATGAACTTAAAAAACAAATACAAGTAAGAAAATAGCACATGTTAGTTTTGTAGTCCGTATTAATATTAGAAGAAGAGAAAAGAATATCGTCATCAATAATAATCTACACTTATTAGGTTGGCAACAAAGTTTTTGCGTTTTTTCTTTCCTCCATCTTTAGAACAAACGCAAAAGCTTTGTTATCAATCTAATAATTAGAAGTATCATTGGATTATTTTATCGTTAGAGATAAGATACAAAATTTTATTGCTCATATCTTAGTGATATATAGTTTTTTAATTCAAGTTTATTTAAATTTGATTGGTTAATGGACTTTATTTAAGTGTTCTTTTTTTCTCCTATTCTTTTTTCTCTGATTAATTGTGACGAACAGAAAGGTTTGTAGATGTGAAATTCTACAATTAATGATAGAAATCATTACAATCACAACAGTAGTAATACGATGATTAAATAAGATATTTTCATTCGTATGATTTGAATAACGTAATAACTAATAATCATGAAATGTTGAAAATCTTAAATTTCTCTTTCTGCAAAAAACGAAACAATATTGCAGATTCCTTGGCTAAATTTTATTTATAGATGTATTCAATAACAGCACTATTTCTAACAAAATCATCTTTTTCACAACAATCAATAAAAGTCTAAAGATGAGATTGCATCGATTTGGACGTTCAGTTGGATTACATATCATTTGTAATACGATTTTTCTTTTGGATATTCTAACTTTCGATCTTTCATTTTCTACGTTCGAAAGTACATTCATATTTATTTATGATTAATTTGGACAGATAATAGGCATTGCATTTGGTATTGTTTTGTTATCTATCATACTATCTCTTGTCATAATTGCAATTCTTTCGACAAAAAACCAGCGTATACCCGTCATTAAAATCTGTATCCTGTCAGAAATACAGATTTTTTATAAAAAGTCGCTATTGAGCTACATAACTATAAACAGATAGTCCAAGATATCTATCAGATTCGGCAGTATACATAAAAAATCGAAGACATAAATGTTCTTAGACATATCAATTTCTACGGCAAACATTTCTGAACAAAACGCGATGTCTCCCAATTCGAGGCGAAGTGTTAAGGGTACTCCCTCCCCTCTTTTTAGGCTTTCTGTAGAAATGCTGTGAAATAGAACCTAAAACTTACTAAGGCTTCATATTTACAGAATTGTTTGGAAACTCAATGGACACTTTTTCGTTTTTGTTTCAAGTTTTTAACTATTGCCGTTCACCAGTTTTCCAGAAAACTCGGTTTTTCATTGGATCACATTACGTCCTCCCTTAAATTTCATCCGATCGCGTTCAAAATTTTACCATAGGTACTCAAGGTCATATCGGAGAGGTATTCTTTTTGCGAAATTTTTTTAAGACCTTGCCTGGTCAAGTTATAGGAAAAATACTGAAAAACGTCGCCAAAACTAAATTTTTCAATTTTAGAAACCCTACAACTCAGTAAAGAAAGATCTGCAATAAAATTCCAGAAAATTACCTCTGGTAAAAGATTTTTCCTCTGATGATTTAACGGGGCGATCGTAATGTGGTTCAATGAAAACTCGAGTTTTCTGGAAAACTGGTGAACGACAATAGTTAAGAACTTGAAACGAAAACGAAAAAGTTCTTCATTGAGTTTCCAATCAGTTCTAAAAATATGAAGACTTAGTAAGTTTTAGGTTCTATTTCACAGCATTTCTATGACAACCCCAAAAAGAGAGGGATGCCCTTCAGCAAAAGTTATAAACTCTCATAATCAGTTTCCTGAATTAAATAACTTTCGTTTGCAATTCAAATCTTTATCTTGAACGAGTATTCTAGGTTTACAACATTCAGTGGCGGCAAAAAGAGATTGAAGCAGAGGAATATAGTTCTAGAAATCGGAGTAAATTCACTCTATTTTTTCACAAAACTAGTAGTACGAGTATATTTCTCGTATTTTTGGCTAAAATCAAAGCAAATTTTCATAAAAATTTCTGAAAGCAGACGAGTATATATTCTCCCCACTCCTGGTCGTGACGCCATTGGTAACACTAATGTTCATGTTAGGCCAAATCACGATACTAAAAAACTGCATATTTTTTAATATTCTTACAACAACAAAGGCCAATGCAGTACAGTACATAAAGATATAAACTAACTGAATCAGCGTTCGTTTGGATTCTTTTTTTTCTAACATATAGTTCATATTTCCACATATCAACATATTTAAACCCATGAATTTAACTTGATAGAGCGCTTCATCCCTTTTTCATTAACATTAAATAGGCTGAACTCTGTTTAAATCCGTTGGAACTTTCGTCCTCTGTTCTCGACTTCAAAAAATGATTAATATTTTTTTAGTTTCGACTAATACATTCTAATACAAAAGAAACATCCTGTATCTTTGTATCATTTTCAATCTATAATAAAATTTATTCGACACAATCATTTGTTTTATTGATGTCGAGAAAGAAAGGTCATTGTAGCGTTGAATTAATTTTCAATACACTTGCTTTATTTTTATTGTTACGTTTCAATAACGTCCAAGATATCTTCATCAGACAGAGGTAGGAGAATAATAATGAAGAAAAGATAATTAATCAGATCATATGTCATAGTACTGATAAAGAAGAGCGATAATTAGTCGTTGTCTCTTTAGCACTTTGTCTCCGTCTTATTATTCTTTATCAGTACTAACACATATAATCTGATTAATTATCTTTTCGTCATTTTTATTCTACCTCTGTCTGACAAAGACGTATTGGACGTTGAAACATCACAATAAAAGTAAAATAAGAAAGAGTATTGAAAATTAACTCAACTTTTTTTACTATAAGCCATAAAACTAAGCTCATCATATTTCAATCCAAATGATTGTATACAATTAAAAGGTTAAAAATAAATCAAATATATATAATCGGCTTAACATCGCTCAAATATTCTATCTTTTCTTTCTTTTCTTCATCTTTAACATGAGTTGAACAGTGCAGTGTATACATTTTCTCTTTTTGTCATAAAAAAATAGTTCATCTTAGTGTTTGAACTCCCGAATTCTAATTTGTAATGATCTAATTGATACTGTTAGTTATTGGATCATTAATGAATGCTATAGATTGAAGTAAAACTTTTTTTTAAATTTTTATTCGAGATTTCTCTATCGTTAATTTCAATCCTTTTTTATGAATAATAAAAACTTATCAACATTTCTATAGAATATTATTTTTTTCTAGTCTTGTGACACTGAAATTCAAACGCTTCGTCATCAGATTGATTCAGTTCCACCAGTTTATTCTATTCTATCAACGCCAACAACTGAAACAGATAAATCCCTATCATCTAATATTCATTCATCGGTAAATTTTAAAATAAAACCAATTGATTTAAAAACATTAACCAATAACAAATCATTTTCTTCTACATCATCGACCGTTTCATCATCAACGCCAATATCACTATCCAAAAATCAAGAGAGACATCATCAACAAATACAAAGTAAATTTTCATTAGATTCAAATTAAATTGATTTTTTTACTATTTATATTCTAATATTTTTAGCAAGAATAATTGAAAATGAAGATGAGAGAAAAATGCGAATATTAACACCGGAACAAAGTATTGTTGAAGAAATAGAACAATCAAAAAAAAGTCATCAAGAAAAGGTAGTTTTAGAAAATAGTTATAATTTTTGAAAATTTTATTTATTAAATTAATTTTTCTATTTGGTTTTTAGTCATTATCTAAAAATGATGAAAATGTAATCATTTTAACATTTCAAGAAAAAATAGTATCTTCACATAAAAATAAATATGATAATCATATAATCGATGACAAAGATTTTTTCGATAATATTATTGATGATGATATCGATAATGATGTTATTAGTGATAAACAGAAAGAAAATGTGTCAGAAATATCAGAGAAAAAAGTTGAAGAACAAAAATTGATTGAATTATTTTCTCCAACATATGATCGTACAAATCACGATGTGCAATCGATAGTTACAGTTGAAATTTTGAATGATAGTCCAGTGAATACAGACGATGAAAAGTATGTTTAATAATAATTCATAAATATCGATCATTTTTTTAATATTATTCATTTTTTTGATTTGTTATAGAAGAAATGAGAAGTCAATTGAATTTAATGTTTTGAAACAAAATGAAACATCTCCTTCGTCATCATCCTCTTCAACATCCTTCTCATCTCCAAAACCAGAAGGAGATATTAAGAGTGATCACGAGAAAAGTGTTGTATTATCACCGGAAAAAGAAAAGGTTTGTTTTGTGACATTCAGTTTTAATAATATAGTCGATTCTCGATTGATTAATTTAGTCGGTAAATCAAGTTAAACCAACAACATTTTCTCGAATACAAAAAATACATTCAGTTGATTTATCTACAGGTGATTGTACATCGATTGATTATGATGAAGATTTTTCAGAAATGAGTCATTCAATTATGGGTACAAGTAAAACACGACAAAAATCTCTATCACCATCTTCACCACTACTCCTATTATCTAAAATAACAAATGAACAGTTGATGAAAGAAGACGAGGAGGATAATATTGGTATAGAATTGATTCCAGAAGATTTACAATTTTCTAAAAGTCAACAATTATCAATAAAAACGTTTATATCAAGCGATGAACAATCAGAAATATTAGTGTTAGTAAAGAATTCACACAGCACTACATCATCTATAGATCAAAATGCATCATTAACTGATCATCTTGTACCACAACAGGTAAATTACGAAGTAGTCTGAGCTGGAGAACAGAGATGTGCCGGGAGAAAGTGTTCGGTTTTAGTAGCATGGCAATAAGTATTTACTGTTGATACATGACGAACGTTAAAAATATGGATGCGACGTTATTCGATGCAAAAATTTTCGCTCTACACATCTGTTCACTTAGTTTCTTCAATGGACGTTTATTTAAAAAATTATAGGTTCTATGAGGCCGTAGGATGGTGTGGGACTAAGTGAATAGGTGTGTAGAGCGAACATTTCTACATCGAATAACGTCGCATTCATATTTTTAGCGTTCGTCATGTGTCAACGGTAAAAACTTATTGCCATGCTACTAAAACAGAACACTTTTCTTCGGTACATCTCTGCTATAGAACAGAGAAATTCTACATCGGCTCTACGAAATAAATTTGTTATTTTTATCTTAGTATGAGTTAGTATCAGAAGATAAATTATTGAAATCTGATGAAAAACAAGTGATAACTGAAGAAGATGAACATAACAGAAGTCTATTGGATAAAAATGATGATATAAGATATGGTGCTATTGAAAAATCAGATAAAGAAAAACAAACGAAAAAAGTAGAGGAACAGCAGTTGGACATTGCATACGAAGAAAACTTAAACGAATTTTTTTCAAATCGTCAAACAACAACAACAACAACGACGACAACATCGCTGTTGATAGAAGATGAACAGAAACAAAATCAAAAACAAGAGACAGATATACCAAATGAGCAAAACATTGATCACATATCTGATCATTTTATTCGAACATTTATTAATGAAGCTATTAAAGAAAGTAAAATTATTAAACAACGAAAAGAATTGAAAAATATTTCATTACATTTGACCAAAGAAGCAAGTGAATGGATATCAGATGAATCTATGAGTGATGAAGACAAACATGATCAAAGTAATGATACAATAGAGCAAAGAAAAATTAAGAATGAAGACGAAGAAGATATTGAGTAAGTGATATTTTTATTTTTTTTGTTTAAAAAAAATGTGAATTTATCTATATTTTTATCGTTTAGTGAATATGTACATAGACCCTCAAATCAACCTGATTTTATAAAGCAAATTAATGTCAATGATGTTGAACAGGTTTGATTTTTATGATGGTATTATCAAATATTCGACTTTTCATTTCATTGTTTTCCATATTATTTAGGACGGATTGAAATTAGATCTAAGTCGATTGGAAGAAAAAAGTGGTAGGTTATTTTTTATACGAATTTTGTCTAATATATTGAAGACTTTTAACGTTTTATTTTGAAAACGGTTATTTCTTTTAGCTGATGAGCCAAGAATTGAAAGTCCTCGAAAGTTAATTATTGAAGAACAAATTAAACCAGTTGTACCTCATACATTTGAAAATGTTAATGAAATTTGTCAACGTGCAACGACAATTTTATTCCAACAGAATAAAGATTTTTCAGATCGAACACGAATTAATAGAACAATACCAAATGATTATTTTCAAATATCAAAAGAAGGTTTGAATTTATCATACTCATTTTATATTTCATCTATTTGATCTTCTTTTTTTCTCATTCTCATATATTTAGCGGATGATACTGAAAAACGTAGTCAACATGCTTATCAAGTGATGATTTATGATTTATGTACTGAAATATTGTACGAAATATATACACCAAATGTTCGTCAAAGCCAGTATCCATGGCAAAAAGCACAATTTGTTTCAAAACGTTATTATTATCGATTCAATCCACCGACAAATAAAACTGAAGCACAAAAATTCGTTAACGAAAAAGTAAATTTTATTAGAAATATTTACCGTTTTTTTTCTACTGTTTAATGCAATCGTCTATAAATCTATTATATCATTTAGATTCTTGAACTGTTAGGTTTAGTACCATGCAAAATTCAATATTCAAAATGGCGTAATCCAAAACGTCGAGATGAATTTGAAAATGTTTTGTTTGATGAATTGAGACGGCAAGAACCAAATTGGATTAATTATGATGATGAATGTATTCAAATTAAATTTGATATTGCCGATATGATATTTGATCAAATATTATCTGAAACATTAAATGAATGTATCGATGTTATTAAACGTCGATCATCGATTAATGGTGCTATTTCACCTTAATACATTTATGAAAAATTTTTTTGTGTTATCCGTCCATTTTTTTTTTTTTTTTATTTGCTACATCTTACCATTCCATTTGTTCGGTGAGATAATGATCACTTTTCAACGTGATCTCTGTGTGTATGTGTGTGTGTGTGTGCGTGTGTATGCAGATGTCTTATTTATCTTTTGCGTGTGAATGTACAGTATTTTTGTAAATGTTATTTTTTACTAACGATATTTAAGTACACGTACAGCGATAATTGTCTTACCTTTTTTTGTTAATCATCTTTTTTCGCGTGATTTATTCATATTTTCATATATAGATAAATATTGTCAAAAATGTTTTTTTTTTTTGTGTGTTTTTTCATGTAAACAGATAGCCTTTACTTTTCACAAGTTGATTCAATCAACATGCCTTCGTGATACATCAAAACAACAAATGTGTTGTTTACTTTTTATATGATGCATATGTGTGCGTAAATTAATCAATAACGAGTGTTTCTCCTTTTTTTTAGCAAATTGTCGTTGTTTTCTTTTTTGTTTTTGTTTTTTTTTCTCTTTTGTAATGACAAATAACATGCGAGAAATGAATAAACAAATGTGTGTATGAATGAACATGAAATTAAATTGGTTAAAGATGTAATACGTCGTTCATCAATAAATAATTGCTAAATTTTCCATATTCATCCAATAAATTAATTTATATTCTAACATGTTATTGTCAGGATCTAAAACAATATGTTTCGTCAGCTTACTATTCTATCGGTTGAATAGAGACATCATTATGACATATAATTGACTGTTCAATCAATGTTAATGTTGTGGTCTAAATTAGAATTCGACCAGATTCCGAATTTGATCAGCCCATACTGGAATTCCAACTTTGGCCGGCCAAAGTTAGAATCAAAATGTCTGCATAGGAAAAATCTGAATTTCGTTTTGGCCAAAATGCGAATTCGACAATTCATTCGGGCAAGTCATAACATGTTCAATATCACATTGCTTTTGAAAAAGTTAACATCAGCGCGTACATGTAGCTCTTTCAATCTTTTTTTAGCAACAAAGTTTACTCGTCTCTCTTGTTTATTTTACAATGGCTTCTGCCTCTGCAACCACTGCTCAGTATCCAAATGATTCTGAGAAACTTTTGTTTTACGATGTTGAACAATATCTAAGTTCTTTAAATTAAAAATAGCGCAAGAAAATTGTTATTAAAAAAGGTACTTATGATAAAATATTAATAGAATTATTACTCGAAAAAGGTAAGAGTTCTCAAACGCTTTCTCCGAGATATATTTTTTTGATGTCGTAATAATTTTAAGTTGCTGGTATTTATGTCGTTTGTTATGTTAGGAGTAAAAATGTGATAGCTTGTATGTTGTAAGGTGCCGGAAATTCGAAAGGTACACACAAAAATAGACTTTCTTTAAATATACATGGTTGGATAGCCCGTGAAATGTAAATTCCAAATATCACCTTTTTTATTCATTTTTGATCAAATTTTGGGAGAGAAATCTTCAAAATACTGAATACCACCTGAAAAGTGAGATTTTGACACTTTCGAAGTAAACTTCAAATTTGACCCAGTTACATAGGTTCTCGTTTTCTCAAACACACATATTCGGATTCAGCAACTCAAAAGGAGTCTAGCCATGTAAGTTCGAGAGTATTTTATCTATTCTATATAAACCTATGTAGTCTTTTGCATTAAAAGCTTTCCCCAACAATTATACATCATTCGAACCGCCATTAAAAGGCGAACAAAAGCATGCATACGCTCGAAAAACTTTCGATTTTCGATTTTTTTTTAAATTAAAATTACTTTTTCAGCTGAGAAAAATGTTTTTTATATGAAAAACTATTGTGAAGTCTAGAAAAGCTTTTTGTGCGATTCTATATTAATATTATGGATGTAATAGAAATAAAAATTAGTCGTTGAAAGTTGGAGCCCAAGTGGATGCTCTTAAAATAATACAAATCTACTACACTGAAAAGTTAGTTTTTGACAAATTTTATAAAATAGAAAACACTTCTGTCATGTTAAGTCTAAACTACAAAACTTTTTTTGTCAATTGCGTTTTTCTACGCATCGGACAAAAAAAATTCATTTTCATGGCAGAAGATAGCATTTTTAGTCTAATAACATACCAGTGTTTTGTTAATGCGGATGAATATAGCGATATGGGGTGATATCATTCTAACAGATACTGTCAAATGTAGTTCGATATCTTTGTTAACACAGATAAATAAATATACATACACAGGTTGAATCACTAACTGTAAATTCCTAATAAGTCAAAAAACTGAAATACATTATTGCTGTTCTATAATTCTTTTTTATTGTCTGTTTCATCTCAAACTATCTTCTCGTATTTTTAACTCACATGAAAGATTTCTAGACGCAATTCTAGATTTATCTTCATGTTAAACCACTGAAGAGTCCGAAATGATTTTTCAAAAGTTAAAAGTTAATTGAAATCGGCAAAAAGTTAAAATAGTTATAAACCGGTGCGAGATTCATAAATCAGTTCCGGATTTATAAATCGCGTCTAGATTTATAACTATTTTGAAATTTTCGATCAAAAGTTAAAATAGTTATAAATCATTATTCATAAATCGGTTTATAACTCCACCTATTTCGGACTCTTCAATATGTTAAACACAATTTAGTCTGTACTAATCTAGGGACTATTGTATTGAAAAGAGAAGAGCTTTCGATTTTAATATCACTGTGAGCAAGCAACTGACTGATAGAATGTTTGATGGAAAAGATAAAAATATCGTTGACTACCCTAGTGAATGTACTTGCGAGTAGGTACTTGTTTACTTGCAAATTTCCATGGGTACTTGAAAAGTACTTGATAAGCATTTTCAAAGAATACCATTCGATAAATGCCCGAAATTACTTGCCAGGTATTTGATTTACTTGTCGAACCTTCCACAGATACTTGGGAATTACTTGGACAAATGCTTGACAAATGACTTGACAAGAAGATAAAGTAACTCAATCTGATTTTCTTGGCAAGTACTTGGTTTATTTGCAAAAAAGCCCAAGAACGTTGGACAAAACTTGCGAGGGTACTTGACCAAGTACCTGCATGCAAGTACATTCATTAAGGATAATTTAATATTTTATTTTTTTTGTCTCATTTTATTTTTCGTATGCATGTTGTTCGTCTGTAGATGAAATTTTTTATGATTAGCCACTGGTATAAATAATTGTGATAAACCGTGCGGTTTGTCATCTTCTGTATGATCAATTCTTGATTAAAAGTGTAAAGCCAATACGGCGTAATCAGCAATATCACTATTTGCAGTTTTTGTAGATAATATATTTGCGACATGTTGTGATTGATGACTCAATTTATAAAATACACCACCTTTTAATGGTCGTTGCTCGTTATGTCGAAGTTCAGGGTTATCTTGCATATTGGTCGATGAGATCTAAACAAAATAATATTTCTCAAATTGTTTAAAAAGTAAAAAGAAATAATAAGTACAAAATTACTGTTCTAGAATAGTTAGTTAGTATTAATCACACAAACAAAATATAAGGAATAACGTTAAACACGTTTGAAAACACATTAATAATCTCTCTATCAGTTACCTCAGTATCACTGTGAACTCGATGAATTGGCCTAGAAAATGTTTACTAGATAATTAATTTTTTGCAATATAAAACGTTTGTGGATAAGAATGACTCATAAAATATTTGAAAACAAAGAATAAATTCAAATATATGTATCCCGTTTGATTCTGATATAAATGTCCTGTTCTAGTGTTGACCATTCGTACTACTAGAGACAGGTTATTAAAGTGCAAAAGTTCTAATCTGACCTCTGAGAGAATAAATCAGTAAAGTAACAGACATTTCATCTTTTGAGATAATTTTTACGCTAATTTTGTTTTGTTATTATTTTAATTTTGTTTTATTTTTTATTTTCTCTCTTTTTTTTCGTAAATATCCTTATTAAATATTTTTCTTGCACTTAAACAAATTAATAATAAACAAAAGATTTTCTTTTAAACAGGGAATTTTGACGCCCTAAGTGAATCTACTTAATTTCAATTTTACTTTTTTCTATTTTTATTATCATAAAACATAACTACCTGTCAAGATTAATGGAAAAGAAAACTAAAAACTAAATAAAAGATATGAAGAGATATTAATCTAAGTCGTATTGGAAGTAGGATTGTAACAGTTACCATTAGCGTTACAGTTACCGAGTAACGGTGGTAACAGTAACTGGTAACTGTCACAGCCCTAATTGGAAGAAGAAATTTATCATAGTTTGACAGTGTTTAGTAATGGATAGTGAGAATGTAAAGACTTAAATCGAAAAATTTTTTTAAAAAATTCTGTTTTGTACAGCCAAGATTAGTTTCAATTAAATTTTACTTGCAAAATTTTCACATTCTCCTCTTATAAGATAGCGAAGTGTTATGTTAAACTTTCAAAATAACGATATCATTGCTGATCAACTTATATATGTCAATAGTTGAGATTTTAAAACAAAAAATTTTAATATCTCTTTAGAGAAATTGTTTGACTTCCATTTTCTAAGAGAATGCATTCTTAAACTAAAGAAAAGAAGATAACAATCTTATATATTAACATACTTTTTCTTTTCCATAACAACTGGTCTACTCTCGATGACAAATAATTTTGCATTTGTATTTTTAAATTTTTTTCCATCTGCCGCTATAGCATAAGCTTTTTCTACATGATCTATGCTTGAATAACGTGGCGTTGATAATGTTGACAATGCCATTGGTTGATGATTTGTTACCATTGGTCTCAAATGACCGTTTCTCATTACGACTGATGACGATGAAAACGTTTGTTCTTTCGCATGAGTTTGTTTTATTGGAATTGACGGTAAAGTAAATAAGGGTTCAGAACGTAATAAAGATCGATTTTTTATTGTCGATGATGATGAGAGTAGATCATTTGATGATAAAGTCTGTACATTATTTAGATTAAACTGATCGAGTTTTCCATTAGAAATTGTTTCAATAGAGAAAAATGTTCCATTATCTTCAGTTTTTCGATCAGGTACATTCGACAATTGATCATCATTATCATCACCACCTGCATCGCTCTTATTATCTGCTATTTTGGGAGTTTGTCGACTAGATGGCAACAACGATGTCGACGGTGTACTACTACCAAGTACATAACCTTTTCGTTTTCGATACTCATCAATGTAAGATTTTGTATTTGAATAAAATTTAAATTTATTTTGTTGTTCACCTATAGCCGCATAATATTTTGGACTAAATAAACGTAGATTTTGACGATTACGAAAATTTTTCAATGGACGTAATAATTCATTGTTATATAAACGATCTATCGTTTGATCAGGCCATGGTCCGACACGATCAACTGCTGTCGAATTCACATTGATATTTGATAATGACGATGATGACCGATGTCTATCACCTAATGTACGATTCAATGATTCATTGCCTATTTTTCGATTTGTTGGAAATAAACGAGGTGGATGAAGTGTTTGACTACCGAGTAATGATGGACGTTGATCGGTTACACGTAACAAGTCGCGTTTTAATTGTTTTTCACTTTTTAAATTTAATTTTGTTCTCAAACAATTTGATTGATCCAAATGTGCTGTACCACATCCGAGTTGAATTTCAGTTTTTAAATAACTAACCGGTTCTGCTGACGTTGTACGACCTGTTTGTTTTTCATTTGCTGAATTTTGAGATTTATTTAATATAGAACGATGTTTTGATTTTTTAGGAAGAGTTTTCTTCATTATTTATATCTAAACATATTACCGTGATTAAAACTACTATTTGGCTTCAGGCACCATTTCCTTAACAACATACCGTTCTTAAGTTAATAAAACATTGAACTCAATGAATACATACTTTTATTTATGGTTCTGAATAACATTAGATTATACAAATCTTACTATCGATAAACAAATGGATAAGTTTCCAACAAATTAATCTTTTAGATATAAAAGTGCGATAATTAAATTAACCTTTTTATAATAAAAAAGCGCAATTTATAATATCCAAAGTAAATAGGTGTTGAAACCTTAAATTGTTAATATATTCAAACCACTTCTAATTCTAGTTTTGTAAGAAATTAGAAAATGCAAGGTAGACAAACATGCAAGAAAACCTAAATGACAGTATGATACATTTCAAAAGTTCAAAGACGTAAGCATCTTTTAAAAATGAACAATATAATCACACTTCAATACAAAAAAAGAAAACAATACCAGTAAAATGTGAAGAAAAGAAGAGAAAAAGTTGAAAATAGAGAGAGGTATATAGGTATTAAATAAAATATTATGTAGAGAAGGGAAAAAAGAGAAAGCCGATTATTTTTTAAAGAATGTTAACATGAACTGTTGATATACCAAGCATGCAATGAATGCCGGTGGTTATTATTATGAAATTTTTGTTTTTGTTTGATGTGCATCTACCTGCTGTTCTTTACTTTACTATGATTGTTGTGATTATTAGTATGTAAAACTTTAGTTAAGAATAGTTTTGAAATGAGAAAGTGAACGTACTTGTGCACTAGAGATGTGCAGGATGGCTGTTTGTTTGTTTTTTTTCAGTTCTGGTCCTATTTTGTGAAACTTTTTTAAACTCTAGTCTTACTCTGCAGAGTACGGCTAGGACGTCCAGCACTCTCTCTTGCACACTGAATTAGATGCCAAGAGAACCTCAATGCTTTTCTTCAAAGATCGGTTCTATTTTTACATCCAAGGAGGACTTCGTTTAAAGCATATCTGAAAATTACCATTTCGATTTTAACACTCGTATTATTTAAAATCAGTAAAACGCTGCAACACAAAAGTCTTGTCAAATTGTTTCGCTTAGTGACTTTGAAATTTAAATCTAAAAGCCGGTATGTTTTAATTAATCTAATGCACTTATATCGGACTTTTTTCTTATTAAACAGCATGTTTCCAACTAACTCACAATACTCCTGGATTTTATTTTACCACTTGACAGAAAGAAAATTTATGCACACGAACAACTCGAGTCTCTTTTAATTTTCAGAGTAGACAAACTGTGTCAAAAATGCTCGAAAGGAATCAAGTAATTATTATTTGATAATTTATTATTCCATCAACGGTCATTATCCTTCAAACGGGATTGAATGTCAGATTATTGGATTCTGATGAGCCCTAACAGGTGAACCATAGGAAGTTGTCGATTTTTAACAGCGAATTTTCTTTAAATTACACATAATCAGAAAATTTCGTTACCAATGATTGAAAGATAGAGAACTTTTTTAGATTTTACATATATTTTCCATAAAATAGATATTTTTCTTTTTTTTGTAGAATTAAAAGTACTGGAAGCCAAGTTACTTACAAAAAGCTTAGTTGCTCAGCACTTTGCTAGAATGAAATGTAGTTTTCAGCTTTTAAACAGCTTTGCTGTGTGATTCAAACGTTACAAAAAAACTAGACTAAAATTCTAATTTTTTAGGTACAAAAGAAAATTTTGGGATCATGTGTTACGATCACAAGAGCAGACGATAAAATATGCTTCTTGATCAGCCTCTGGCGGCTTTCGTTCTTCAAGAAAATAATCCGATTTTGTCATTTGTTCTGGAACCATGTCAATTCGTGAGAGAGAACGTCTTTCACTATTGAAATTCGGCATCTGAAAACAATCATTCTTATAAATGAGGATAGAAAAGTTCAAAAAATTTGCACGTCATTGGTTCAAGATGTTTTTGCAGTGTTGGGAATATCGAAAAGCGGGAAGAAGGAAGTGTATAAGAACAGACATTTCACTAGGTTCATCAAAAAATAATGTATCTCCTGTTACTAGAATAAGATTTTGAACTCGTAATGAGACAAGAATCTGTGTTCAAAAGCCTTTGAGTAACCAAGCTTTTTGTAGCTTCCAGTACTTTTAACACTGTGAAAAAGGAAAATATCTATTTTATGAAAAATATATACTAAAATCTAAAAAAGTTCTCTATCTTTCTTTCAATCACTGATGACGAAATTTTCTGATTATGTGTAATTTAAAGAAAATTCATTGCTAAAAACCGACAATTTACTGCGGCTCATCAGTTATAAATGAGATCATTCATGCAGAAAAAAAATATTAACTATTGGGCGATACAGCTAGCTAACTCATTATACTACCCGATATAGCTAGCTAGCAATTCAAATCAGGTTATTTACCACCGGGCGATATAGTTAGCTAACACGCACGACACATTACTAGATATACCTAGCAAACTCAATAAAAGTGGTACGGATAGCTAACTACCACAAGTCTATAATGCCCGCCAGTATAATTCTATAGCTAGATATTCTCAAAGGCGTTTTTTTGTTTAGGCAGCAACTCAAAATTTAGATTTATTACAGTGAATATACACAACAGGATATAGATCAAAAACTACATGGGTTCACTTCAAGACAGTCCACGTACTTTTCTCACTTTGGAAAGTTGCTCATTCTACATCCTGCCATTATAAACCAGAATGCTGCACTATTGGCTTGTCTTCAAATCTTGATCAGTTATAAAGGACATCTAGGTGAAAAGGAAGCGGCATCACCTAAAACTCGAGCGAATGGAAGGCAGCATAACGGCTTATTTTATCTGGATGGTCATTAAACAATAATATCTTCTTCTTAATCTTCTTAATCTTTTGCAACGCAAAATGTTTTTCATTATCTTTTTTCATGAAGAACGTCTTGAATCAGTAAACATCAACTGCCCTACGAAAATGGTCGGCGAAATCAGAGTGTTTCTTTGACATCGACTTTTTGTGTCGGATATGTCTTTACATACATATACTCATTAAATATTTCTAGTAGTAAACTTTCAAGCAATTAAAAAAAACAAATACAAAGTCTTTTTGAAACAAACACGTGAGTGACCCGCAATAGTTTGCCCATAAGTTTCTCTTTCTTCAACACAAATATTCTCTTCTATTATTTTTCCACTAATCAAACAGGATCTTCTCATTTTTCTGCCGGCAGTTTTGATCAAAACTCTTGTTTTAATCTCTATACTAGTGTAATGCTAAGCAAAAACTTCGTCGTCTTTCTCGTCTAGTTTCAAATACAATAAAGTATAAGAGAAGGAAAAGAGAAAGAAAAACTGTACAATTCGTGTACAAGTTTTCAAATCTTCATTCGTATCAAAAACAAGTTTGTGGACGGACGGTCATCGTTCTATATCAACAACAACGCGTATACATTACTTTCAACTTGATTTACCGTATTTTGGTATTTATACAACACAAACTTTGTTATATTATCTGTTTTGAGTAAGTATACGTTCTCTGAGTTTTCGTTGAGATTGCAAGTGTTCTATGAAAACAGGCATTATAATTATGCTAACACTTTTTGTCCAACTTTGAGAAAGAGTAAGTCAGTAGATCCTATTGGAATCAGTTCTTCAAAAAGTTTTTCTTTCGCCACAGATCGATAGAGAATTAAAACTTGTGTGAGTTTCCTTCGAATTCCATTAATGTATAAAAAATAATAACTATCTATCATCTTAATTAATGTTGTATGAAAAAGCTTCAATTTTCAATTCAATTTTCAAAATTTCCATGAAAATAATGATAATTATGCCTATTAATTATATTAAACGTATAATTACCAGTGATCTATTTGTTTTTTATAGAGCTTGTTACTTTGATCAAGAATATCCGTGAGTTACGCTTTAAAATTAAAAAGATTTTTTTAGAAAAAGAGGCTTTTTTAGCGTGAAACGCGTTTATTCTCGACTTTTAGTATCATCTATTTTAGTATTTCGGTTTTTTCCACTGTAAATTTCACTTTTAATGTAATCGATTGCTTGTGAGAATATGTATAATTTGGAATTATCGAAATATTGACAAAAGTAATCAGTCTAGTAGAGAGATGATCAGTTTTTCGCTTTTTATTCCAAGTCACCAGAGTCTCGACCAGAGTTGCCAGGTACTCAGGTCACAAATGCAGAAAAAAAACGGAAACACATTTTCAGTCTAACTTCATCCTTTTTCAGGCGCAGAGAGTCAAAAAAATGTTTTCTCTAGCGCTTTGTGATTTTACTCAATAAAACACAAGAGAACAACAAACAGAAATGTAAATCTCGATTTTAATTGACACGTTTTTTTGAATGTCTATTTTTAGATTAGGAATGAATAAGTTTAAGCAGTTCTGGCGTTGATAAGAAATAATTATAAATTTCAGTGCACCATAACGATGAGTTTAAATGAATTTTTAACTCGAGGCAAAACAGCTAAACCAGAAAATGCTTAAAATGTGAACCATCTGGCAACTCTGATCTCGACCGCAAAAAGTTATCAATGGCCTATGACAGATGCTAAACAAGATGAAAATAATTAATATAAAGCAGAAATCTGAAATCATGCGAAAATTTTCGATACACGTTGAATTCGACGAAAGAAATTCGAGTATATTGATTTTTCTCCACTTCTACTCTTCAAATTGTTTAAATGAACGGATCAGATTCATGGATGGTCTATTCTAAGAAAACGACAAAATTCAGAACGAAAAAAGTTCATCGAAAAACTTGAGCCTCTGGCCACGCAGTTTTTTCAAAAAATTTTAGTCAGGGGAGTCTTTGTTTCCAGTTTAGATATGTAGTTGATGATCTCTATGTAATCACTTTTATTAGTTTTCTTTATTAGTTACTTGATAATTAATTAATTATTTCTAATGCATTAATGCATTTCGTATGTCTAAGAAACATGAAAACTCACGTAAGTTTTAATTCCCTATCGATCTACGGCAAAAGAAAAACTTGTTTAAGAAGAATCGATTCCTATAGGATTTTCTATCTCAACTTTTATAACATACGCAGTTCCCATGAAAGAACTTTTATTTCCCGCGCATCATATTTCCCGCTTTTTTTAAGTAGTATGGTCTCTTCATCAAGGATATCGAAATAGACAGAGGAGTGCGCGCAGCTAAAACACTTTTTTCTCAGCACTTTATAAAACTTTTCTTTTATATCCCTGTCAATTTTTTTTTATCCTATCCGTGCTCTTTAGATTTTGAGAGTAGGTGTGAGCTTATCCGCAGTTATAGTAAAAAGTCAGAAATTGAGAAAAAAAATTATACGAAAAGGCAAAGTATCTTATAGGGCATGCCTCATTTACAGAAAGCATATCAGATTGAGCTTAAGATTAAGGACACATATCATCAATATAACGTTCGTGTTTTCTCTGTAGTTTGTTAAAACGAACAAACACAAAAAATGTCAAACACTAATCTACCGGGACAACCAGGAAGAGCTCGTGGTCGTGGACGGGCGAGAGCATTAGCGGCGGAAAGTAAGTATTCTATTAAACGTAGTAAAGGCATTTTTAAAATAACCCCGTTTGTTGTCTTATTCTAGGCGAATTACCACCGACTGGCGCTGCAGCAGCAACTGCAGCCCAACAAGCTGTCGGTAGTCAATCGTTAATTCTTGGTGCAGGTGTAAGTGTTGAGTAAGAAGAAATAAGAACATGAACAAATTTCTTTTTTCTTTTTATAGGGTACAGCAACAACAGCCGAAAGACCCGTTCGGCCAGCACCACTTTTAATGCAGACACCACGAGGTCGTGGTATTGAACAAATTCAAAGTGGCATGGCACAAATGCGTATAGGCGAAGGTGGTCGATCTCGTGGTCGTGGATTGACAGCTGAAGCCCCAACAATGGTATTGAAACCAATTGGTCTAGAAAAACGAGGTAAATTGAACTAAATAAATAAACTAAATAACTAATAAAAAAATGATTATTTTCTTCTTTAGGCACCAACGGTGAACCAATTTCGTTGATTGCCAATTATGTTCGTCTATTAGCATCGCCACAATGGACATTATTTCAATATCATATAGAATTTGTGCCTAATGAAATCGAGTCAAGACGGATGAAACGAGAGTTATTGGTTCAACATCGTGGTATTTTACGTGACGTTGCATTTGATGGTCAACAATTATTTTCATTTGAGGACTTTGGTGAAGTATGTGACGACTGTTTTTTCTCTTGATAAATTTGTTTATGTTGTCAGCAAGGAAAAACTTTTGTTATTTTCTCAAAGTTGCTCTACTAATTTTACGATAAAAATTCTTATCGAGGAAACAAAACAGATTAAGATACTTAAATGTGCATTTACTGTACATTAATATTAATAGAGAACTATGAGTCAATAATCCTCAGGTGTCTGTTAGAGAATATCCTGAAGTAACACAGAGTTATTGCTTTCAAGTTTCATACGTCCTGCGAGAAACATTGGTAGAATTTCGACAGATTACTTTAAAAATCTGGACATTTCGCAGCAAAAGTTCTTTTGTCAATATTGCTTTATATTGTTTAATTTAGGAAAAAGAAGTAACATCTCGTCATCCGGTTAGCGCTCAAGATATACGAATCATATTGCGAAAAGTTGGCACAAATGCCCCTGAGAGTCCACAGTTCTTCCATTTAGCTAATTTGGTTGTTAGAAAGTAAGTAAAAACGTTTCAATTCTATTCTGTATTGCACATCTACTTTTCTTGTAATTTAGATTATTGGAAATGGCCGGTTTGAAACTCATTGGACGAAATTATTATCAGTTCGATCGAAAAATCGAACTGCCACATTATCGTCTAACATTGTATCCTGGCTTTATAACTAATGTGAATATATTTGAAGGTCAATTGATGATAAATGTCGATTTATCACATAAAGTAAGTGTTTCAATCTTGTTAAATTTTGTCATTAACGTTTGTTATATTTTCTTGTAGGTCCTGAATAATGTGTCAGTTTATCAACGATTGCAAGACATATTCAATCAAACGCAAGGAGATTATGTCCGCGCACAAGATCAGGCAGCTCGAGAAATGGTGGGACAAATTGTGATGACAACGTAAGTTCAAATGTTTAACTTTGAAACACAAATGGTTCGTTCAAATATACGTATCTGTTAGAAATTCAAAAAAATCTCTTTGAAGATTCGAAAAGGGTTGAGGCTGTTTTTGTTTAATTCAGGTACAATAATCGTACATATCGTGTGGATGAAATTGCATGGGATAAAGATCCAAAATTTTTGTTCAAAAAACGAGATGGAACGGAAATCCCATTGACGCAATATTATTTAGAGGTATGTCTCCAATATCTAGGTTATTGTACTCTACGAATAATGTATGTATCTGTTAATCTTTTCTATGTTGTTAACAGCGGTATCAACATAAAATCCAAGATGAAGGACAGCCATTATTGATTAGTCGACCATCGAAACGTGATCGTCGAGCAGGTGTTACAGGACCAATTTTATTGATTCCAGAATTATGTCGTGAAACAGGCACGTGTTTGACTTAAAATATACAATTAATCTTTCAACAACGCTTTTATTTCCAATTTCAGGTATTTCTGATGCAATGAGAAGTGATTTTGGATTTATGAAAGAATTTGCGAGTCATACACATATCGATCCAAATACACGATATCTACGTTTACAAGAATTTATCGCCGATTTAAATGGGTAAAATGATTTTCTCTTTTTTTACCAGTAGAAGGCACTACAATTCCAGTTTTTGCTTTGAGGCCTGCAATCAACTCAACTCGGCAGTTGAGTAATCGAGAGTTATAAGTGTTTTTACTTGTAATCCTAATATTTGTGTCGTACTTCGAGAAGGTGGACTATGAGTTCGTTATTTAGGCGTTTCTTCTCTCTTAATTGTTAGTGTACATCTCTTAATTCTAATCAATGGCAGGATTTCCTTGATGAATATTTGAATTATGGATAGGAAGGACATGTGAGATTCTTTTATCTTTTTAGCAACATGGAAGCACAAAAAGAATTATCCAAATGGCAAATTCAATTGGATGAAAATCTTATCGAATTTCAGGGACGTATTCTTGATCGTGAACAAATTCATTATGCCGATGTAAGTAGAGCACTCTTAAGTTAGAAAGACGTCGAATCAAAATTATATTCTTTTCTAGAAATCAATCAATTATAAAACAGAAGAAGCCGATTGGTCGCGTGATGGACGGTCGTTGAAGCATATTAGCGCAAAAAAATTAAGCAATTGGATTGTTCTTTACACTGGCAAAGATGCAGGTACCTGTTGTCTCGATAAAAAAGTTGAACTTACATATGGTTACAGGAATTATTCTTGTTTTAGGAACAACCGAAGGATTTATCGAAGCATTGAATCAAGTATGTACACCATTTGGTATGCATTTGGAATATCCAGAAATGTAAGTGATCAAATTTTAGATAAATAAGTTGTATCTTAATGTTGGTATTGTTATCATTTAGGATTCAATTACAAAATGATCGTCCAGAGTCATATTTGAATGCATTGAACACTAAAGTGCGAATTAATACAGATATGGTCGTCTGTGTGTTGCCAAATAATCGTAAAGATCGTTATGATGCGTTGAAAAAATATTTGTGTCTGGATGTTGGAGTTCCATCTCAAGTAAGTTCTTTCATTTTATAGAGTACAATATAAGATGTTTTTCATCTTTCAGATGGTATTGACAAAAACACTGACAAAACGAAATCAATTGATGTCGGTTGCAACGAAAATAGGCATTCAAATGAATGCAAAATTAGGTGGGGAAATATGGGGCGTAACGATTCCCGTAAGTTGAGTTATCAAATTGATGATCTTAGATTTCCGATTGTTCTATTTATTTTTCTGCGTTTTTTAGTCAAAAGGGTTAATGGTAGTCGGTATGGATTCTTATCATGAAAAACGAGGTCCAAGTGTTGGTGCGTTTGTGGCGTCAATCAATCCTGGTTGTACACGATTTTATTCACGTGTCATTTATCAAAAGACAACTCAAGAATTAGTTGATGGAATTACATTATGTCTTCGTGGTAAGTTCATTATTGTGCTGTATGATCTTAATAATTTAATAATATTGTTCACATTTTGGTTAAGATTCACTACAAGAATATTATAAAGCGAACAGTACGTTACCAGATAAAATAATTATTTATCGTGATGGTGTTGGTGATGGTCAGTTGCCAGTCGTGGCTGAACAAGAACTGCCGCAAATTCTCGAAACAATGCCAAAAATAATGCCAGATTATGAGTACGTAGTCTTCTAAGATAATGAACATGAACTGTTGCAATCTATGCTATATTTCTAGTCCCAAATTGGCAATGGTGATCGTTAAAAAACGTGGAACTTCTCGTTTCTTTGCCAAAAACCATCGTCAATTGTTTAACCCACCACCAGGCACAATCATTGATCATACAGTGACAAATGTTAATTGGTATGATTTCTATTTGATTAGCCAATGTGCACGACAAGGAACAGTAGCACCAACACATTTTAATGTCATTTGGGATCGAACATCATTGAAAGTTGATCATATGCAACGTCTGACACATAAAATGTGTCATATGTATTATAATTGGCCGGTATGTTGTGAACTTCTTTTCTTTTCTACACACATTTTGAGAAATAATAAGCGTTTTAACTGATATTTTTCTCTTTAAAGCAGAGAAACAGAGGGCTTCTCGAATTCAGATGGATATACGAATTTTTGCTCGCTGAAGATCTGACAGACCTTTTCTAACACTCGCGCATAGCTCTTGTAAATTTATATATTCTTATTATTTTTACAGGGAACAATTCGTGTGCCAGCCGTATGTCAGTATGCTCATAAACTAGCATATTTGGTTGGTCAATCATTACATCAAGATTTCAATCGAAATTTGTCTGATAAATTGTTTTATTTGTAAAAAGAGCAACAAAGTGTTGATAGTGCCAGCATCTCAAGTAAAACTTTAATTTATCTTATTTTATTTTTTAAGAAAGTTAAACGCTATACAGTTGTTTGTGTTCTTTCTTTTGCACTTTATTTTTTATTTTTCACATTTCGTTGTTTTGTTTAGTGTTATTACAAAAATAGTGTTGATATCTTTGTATATGTTTTCTAGTTTAGTCATTTTAATGTGTGCGTGTGTTGTGTGTTTAGTTTTTCTAAATAAGTAACAACTTATGCTCTTGTTTTTGTTTTTTGACTTGTGTTTTCAAAGTGTGTGTTTGTTTGTATGAAGTCAAAACAAAAGATAAAGCGTTTCTTTTTCTCTTTTTTAAAATCTCGTTGCTTTATTATTTTTAATGTACATAAGATAAATTTAGTGGGAAAAAAGCAGTGTGCTTTTTCGCGAGAGAAGAAAAACGTGGGCCATGTCAGGCGCGTTGTTGTTTGAAACTTGTTCGTCTCATTTATATTTTTTATGTTCAAATTGTATGTTAAAGATGTTTTGTGTTGTAAATATAGACATGGTCTTAGAGGATAAAATAAAAATATTTTCATCAAAACGTTTTATGAAACATTCAATAAGAAAACAAAGTGTAAGGATACAGAGTTATTCTTTCCTTTTAGTTTTACTACTCAGTACTGAACTTGAATGTCTTGCAAACATCCTCTAGAGTACTACAAAACATCATCCAGTTGTTCACAGCATTCGTGAATTCAGTATTTGTGAAACATCAAATTAAAAATATGAACTCAACAGAAACTAAATCGAATTTCAATCATCGTTCGTATTATATTTTTAGCTGTTATAACTTGTTAATTTATCATACTACTTATGATAAAGAACTACTACAATGTTTACATGTTTCACCGTTAGATCATTACTATTCATCAAAATTTTTTGTGAAATTAAATTTATTTCAGTTACTTTTTCTGAGAAAAAGGCACCGCGCATACGTTACTGCTAGTCTACAACGTCATCTTTTAGTGTGCCTGCAAATAACGTCAATTTAATCTTCACTGAACAGTTCACTGTAGATTAATACTGTTAAACAGTACTGTATGGTCAGTTTAACAAAGTAATTCTTCAGATGTGCTGAAAATGTATAATATCGAATAAATATGAACGATGATGGTAAAATTCGAAACAGGAAATATAACAGTTCTTTCTCAAAATGCAATAAAAGAAAGTTGTGTCCTATGCAGTTCCCAGATGGCCCGCATTTTGGAGTTTTTTTCGCAATTTGTCCGCATTTTAAGCTTTTGCTGTTTTACCCCTGTTCATATAAGATTTAAAAAGAAAATTTTGTCTATTGACGATTCTCTTCTCATCCTATTGACCAACTAAGTAGCCAGTCACTCGTCAGTTTATAATTATTTCTTATCAACGCCAAATCTGCTTAAACTTATTCATTCTAATCAAAAATATACAGTCCAAAAACAACGTGTCAACTAAAATCGAGACTTACATTTCTATTTGTTGTTCTCTTTCGTTTTATTGAATAAAACCACAAGGTGCTAGGGAAAGCATTTTTTTGACCCTCTGTGCGTGAAAACAGCTGAAGTTAGACCGTGAAAATGCGTTTCCGCTTTTTTCCGCATTTTGGAATTTTTATTCCGCATTTCTGACCTGTGCATCTGGGAACTCTGGTCCTACGGTATAATGGAGATGATCTCATTGTGGCGAGATCACGAACACATCTACTACTCTTGTGTACAAGCAAAACCGAAAAATCTTAAAAAAAAAAATGACATTCTTAGTAAAACTGATTACTTTGCTTTTCGAAAATAGTTTACCAGAAATTTCACTTGTATTTTACTGACATCTATTGATACATTTGGATGCGGGCAAGATTAACTGATCAATGAAGTGAAGTAGACAACCAATCAGCTTGTTAGTGAGTTGACGCGGAATAAACTAATGGATAAACTTTATGCTAAACTGATAATATAATTACGTTTGGTGGGATTATTTCAATAAGAGCTCAATGTTTTTGTGCCAGACGGATTCTGCGCTCATTTTATCTTGGTTAAAACCAAGTCTTTAGTATTCTTTTCAGCTTTCGATCCAAGTTTCTTTTTCATCGAGTACTATCCTTTGAAAAGAAGGCACAAGCTACCTTATAATTTCATTTAACCATTTCTCGGCATTTGATATTGTATTCTGTTTTATTGTACTATAAAGTGCAAGGATGTTGTGGTAAATCCTTCATTGATTTCAATTTATAACTGTTTAGCATTTTTCGTTACTATCTACATAGCTGCGGTCGTGTGATTTTCTAGTGGACTTGCTTTATTTTTAGATAGAATAAATGATGTCGGGTATTGAAGAGAGTTTACCAATACCAATCACCAATGGTTTAACACCATCAGTATCTATGAATGAAAGTATTAACGATAATCCTCAGAAAGTTCAATCTCATAATAATGTGTCAGATAATGTCAACGAAGATGATGAGTCATGGCTATACGGAAGTATGTATCGTCAATCTTACGAGTTGATTTTATTGAACTTTTACATCTTTTTGTAGGCAATGTACCATCAAAAAATAAAAATGAAGACATTGGGTAACATTTCTCAGATTGTAACGCCAACAAACGTTAAATGTTTTATCTTTTTTTTAATTTAGAGATAGTGCATTGGCACCGTCAGTTGATGAAGTTACAACTCATGAAATAAATTCACGGGTACGAAACTTGTGTAATTTTTACTATCAACTATTTTACTGTAATTTTTTTAGGAAAAAATCACTGCACAAATAACGGATGACAATGTGATGGACTCGGATGATGATGATGATCAGATTGAAGTAATGATTAGAGATTTTAAATCACCATCAATCTACCCAACAGCACGACAAAATAGTCGAACAGCTATTGGTGGTACGTATCTTCAAAGATGCGATAAGTTAAGTTTAAAAGTAAAGTACATTAACTAACTGTATCTATAATAACTAAATTTAATCATATTTAGTTTAATGTTAATTTTTTATGTTTATAGTTGGATTAGGTGGAAAACCCCCTACAAAAGGTGTTGATTTAGATGCTCAAGGACAAATCAATGGAGTACCGACATTTGAACATGATATATTAAGTGCTTTTAAAGATGATGAAAAACCATGGAAAAAACCGGGTTTGTGTAGTGCTAATTTACTTCATAAAAAATAAGTAACAGTGATTTTTATTTTGTTTAAGGTGCTGATATAACTGATTATTTTAACTACGGTTTTACTGAGGATACATGGGGACAATATTGTGATCGACAACGACGATTGAGAGCAGAAAATAACTTGGCAAGAATAAATGCAACATCAAACGTAAAAATTGTTGTTATTGTACTTTTCTGAATATCTTTTTGACCGATAGATGAGAATAGAGCTTTTTGGTAGAGAATAAAAATCTTATTATGACACTTGTGTACAATGAGGTGTAGGTATCATTTCGCTCGATGTCGATGAAAAATACTGGTGGAGAAGAAAGCAGTTATATAATTCTGTTACTTCATCTGCTGCTGCTGCAGATATTTCAGAATGTATAATGTTGGATTTGTTGTATAAGCACTATATATTAGTATTTGCTCATCTAACGTTTATCTGTTTAGATCCAACATATTCCACAGATTGGTGGTCAGATTGGGACGGTTGTCAATAAACAAATAAGACCATTCGTGCAAATGAAAAAACCAGTGGGAACAATTGACGTTATTGGTAACAAACTTTCATATTTGTATCAAGTTTTTCACTAAACTTTATATTTTTGTAGGAGCTACTGATCAGACATCACGTCGTCCAACATTTGAAACTGGCTATGATCACGCACCAATGCAATTTATCAATGGACCGCAATAGTAAGCACTGAATTCATTTTAGAGTTTATTTATATATCTTTTAAAATATTTTTCTTTTCAGTCCACCGCCTGGTGTACCTGCACCTCATCCTTCTCAGTCTGGTCCAAATTCATCTATTCCTGATTTAGCCACACCTCCTCCTGGCTTTACTACACAGCAAACAATGGCAAATGTTACATCGAATTCAAATCAACAACAGCAATCCCCACAACATGGCACATCGCCTCAGCACCATCAAATTCCAACATTAGGCGTTGGAGGACCACATCGTTTACCAATGCCAGGTATGCCCATGGGTCCACCAATGCTTCGCCATCCACAATTTGGTCCACCACCGCAGCATCCGTTTTATGGAGGACCAATGCCTGGTGTTATGCCTCATGAAAGGTACGTCAGTATCAGCAAGGATACATAGTTGCGATAAATATGGCTCCTCTTTTCATGACCATTACTTACCCGAATAGTGGAAGAAACGCATTTTCTATTGAAAAACTGTTAAATATCTGCTGCCGCCCATACAATGTATTGCAACGACAAAGCGTTTTGAAATATGTTGGGAATTGAACTCTTATTTTAGTTATTTTTATTTCATTCTAGACCTCCAATGCCTGTCGGTGGTCCTTATTTTATTCCACGTCATCAACAACCATGGGAAAAGTAACTAATGAGGAATAAATTTCTTGTAGTCTTCCGTCAACATTTACAAGCTTTTCAAAAAAATCTCATTTTTATTATGCTTTAGAACTTTATCTGCAGCAGCTGTGAGTTATCATTTTCCACCACCTCACAATTCACCCAATGTTGGTTTAAGATCCCCACGTAGTGCAACACCAGAGGATCATTCATCGAGAAGTTCAACACCCGAAGAAAGTCGAGAAGAAAAAACAAAAGAAGATCGACACAAAGATAAATACAAGTGCGTATCCTACTACAGATAGTTTTTAGTACTGACTTGTCTATCATGTATTTTTCCAGTAGAGATCATTATGATCGTGATCGACGTTCACCAAAAGATCGTTATAGACATCGTGAATATGAGCGATCTGAATATGAACGTCCAAGAAGTGACAGAGATGATGAAAGAAGACGAAAATCAAAATCAAGAGATAGAGATGATAAATATGAACGTTATTCAAGAAAGTAAGTATAAAACGAAAGTTTTATAGCTCAGGTTTGCTCAGGTTTTTTTAGACGACGTTCAATGTGTTGTGATTGAATACTTGAACAACTCATTATAAACTTTCTTTTCAGACGCCACCATCGAGAGGACTCGCGACATCATCGTGAGGATGAACGATATGAACGTACATCATCTAGTCATCGACACAGAAATCCTCAGACATCTCATACATCATTTTCCTCTCCCCCAAAAGGTATCACAACAACTTCTCCAGATAACAATGATGAACAACAACAAGCATCACAATCATCTTCACGTCATTCAAAAGGAGACGAACGTGATCGAAAACATAAAAAGTCATCAAAGCGCTCTAGGCGTAGCAGTGAAGAACGTGATCGTGACCGGGAGAAAGATAGAGGAGAACGATCAAGTGGTCGTTCAAAAGATGAAAGTAGAAAATCATCATCGTCTAATGCTGTTACCGCAACTCAGGCATTATCCACATCTTCATCCTCCTTGAATGCACAGTCAGCAGATATAACAACGTCAACGATATCAAATGACGCTGCAGTACAGTCGAAAGAAAATGATTAATTTCTATTTTTTTGCTTTTTTGCATATTCTTCTCATATTTTTTGTGTAATTTGTGCGTTTATTAAAATAACGTACATTGTATAAAAGAAGTGTGTTTTTTTTTGGATGCATGTATTTGTTTCTTTTCATGAACTTCCTGTTGTTGTTGTTCTCTTCTTTTATTATTGTCTTGTTGTATCTTTTTCTGTTTGCCAAAAATGTGTAATTGATTCTTTATTTTATTTGAAAACAAGACATGCAACCTATTTTCTGACTTATTTCATAAAATCTTTAAAAAGATAGGAATATTAAGAATTCATAATATTTAGCTAAGAAGCTTCGTGAGTACAGCTTTCTTCTGTAATGAGCAAGAAAGTAAGAGAATCCCTATTACGCCGTTTGTACGTGGTCTCCCTAAACTCAATTTTCACTTGAAAGAACATGTGTTTAACGCATCTCTTTCAGATAACAATATTTTTGATAAAATTCGAAAGATATGCTGATGGACGACGTATTTCTAGAACTCTTTAATGCCAGAATATGTATCGTACATATTATTCTTTTTGTGCCTTTAGTTCTCATTTAAATAAAATGATCCATGATACGCATTTTCCTCTCTATGCTGATTTCACAACAGATGAAATACTCGAATATTTTTGTTTGGATAGAAAAAATAAACAGGAAGAATTAATATCAATCAAATTTGAAGAAATTTGTTGTTGTATTAAATATCAGCTATTTCATTCTATGAATATTGACTGGTACAACAGAAATATAATTCATGAATGCTTGAATAACATTAAAATAGTTCATATATTGAACATTTATACAAATTTTATTACGGTTTAGTACTGTAACGGAATGAAATGATGGATGTTATTTCAGTAATTATGAATGACATCTACTCTTATTGATTCGCTTGAATATGAATTATTTAAACGACTGATCATCGAATCATTTATCTACTAATGAAAATTTATCATTTTTAAATTTGTATTATATCGAAACTAAAATATTTAAATATTTAATGTATCTTCAATTTAAAACAGATCAACTGTTCAATGAAAAGTGATTAAATTCAAATGATTATTTAAAACAATACTATTTTGAACTCCGTTTTGATATTCAGCGAAACCATCAATAATTTATCGTTAATTATTGAATAATAGCATTTATCCTATTTTTCCTCGACGAAATTTTCTTATAGAACTGGAAGCATAGAGAACTCTTGTTTGGTTATTATTGTCAACGGTTTTTGTGATAATTTAATACACACTTTGAATAAAAGTTTATTTTTCTAGATCTAATCTCTATACATCGTTGGATTCTTCTTTTTCTTTGATTTCTCAGTATCGATATACATAATGGCTAGTCCACGCACTCGAAGTATACTCAAAGATCTGAAATTAAAAGAGGATAACAACGTTTGTTTTGAGTGTGGAGCAATGAATCCACAATGGTAAGCAGGAACTCTCAAATTGTTATTTTAATGAATATTCTTTTTTTCTTTTTAGGGTTAGTGTAAGCTATGGTAAGTGGCGTAGAATTACAAGTATTGTTTGATTATTATTGTTGTTTTTTTTCTGTATCATAGGTATTTTTATCTGTCTCGAATGTTCGGGCAAACATCGTGGACTTGGTGTGCATTTGAGCTTTGTTCGCTCAGTAACTATGGATAAGTGGAAAGAACTTGAATTGGAAAAAATGAAAGTAGGCGGTAATCGAAAAGCAAAAGACTTTTTTTCCCAACAACCAGATTATTCTACATCAATGACATTACAACAAAGGTATAATTCAAAAGCAGCTGCGCTCTATCGTGATAAAATATTAACAGAATCACAAGGAAAATCATGGAATATCAACAATTCACCAGCTCAAAATCACACATCATTCACATCGCCAACGTACAATGATAAATCCAAAGTAAATGTGAAAATATATTAACCGACTAGCTGGTCAATTATTCTTTGCATTCCTTTTATTTTAGTCTCAAGCGTCCAGTTCTGAATGGACTCAATTTCAATCGGCTCCACCTCTAAGAAATAATGGTGGCGATCGTGGCTATCAAGATTATTCGAATAATGAAAATAATTCATACAAAAATTCTTCTTATCATAACAGTGATACTGATACATCGAGTCTCGGAGGTGGAAACAGTAATAAAGATAGTAAATATTGGGGATTTGGAAATACAAGCTATGAGTCATCCGGTCAGCAAGCAAGTAATCCAGATCTTGTTTCGTCATTATCAACTGGTGTATCGGCGTTAAGTGTCACTAGTGGTAAATGGCTAAATGTTGCAAAAGATTCTGTATTTAAAATATCGAAACAAGCAGCTGAAAAAGGCATGGAAATAAGTAAATCTGTTAGCGATCAAGCAAAAGATGGTATGTTGTTTTATAATATTGATAATTATAAAAATATTAGTTTTTTGTTTTTAGGAACACTATTGAATAATGTGCAAACAGGGGTTACATCAATGGCATCAACTGTTGGAAAGTTAAGTACAAAAACATGGAGTGATATGCAATCATTTTGGGCAGGAAAAGACTATCATAATATGTCATCGAATAGTGAAGGTATGTGAGTGAATTAACAATTAGATAAAATCATAGATAACGTCATAGTATTAACAGATATATACAGGCATTGATCATCGAAGTTTATAACATTTTTGCCTGCAGATATTACTTATTTTAGACGCTACAATACGAGCCATTTTGTACATTCGTTTTTCTTTAATTTTAGGTACGAATTTGGTACATCAAAAAAGTCTGTCGACTGATGATTACCAGCGACAACACAGTAACAATAGTGGAAGTTATCAAAATAATTATCCTAGTATTTCTCCTAGTGTTTCTCAACAGCAAGTAATGAAGGATCGTAGAGATTTAAGTTTTGAGTCTTGGTTGAACGATGACAATACATCTACAACTAATACAAATCAATTTGAACCGAAACAACAACAAAAACAGGCGACAACATCTAAAGTACAACAACAACGTTCAACACCATCACCTCAACCGGCATCTGTTTCTTCGCCCGCACCAAAAGTAGTCACTCAGACAAAACCACAAATGAAAAATTTGATTAATTTCGAGGAAGAAGGAAAATGGGCAAATGACGATGATGGAGAATGGGAATCAATTGACACAAAATAGAAATATATTCTCAATGTTTTAGGATCTTGTTTGATATGTGTGGATTTTAGCGAGAGCGATAGAATACGCAATAAAATTTCATTCGGTTCAAATAAGAACGTTTCTTGTACTTATTGTTATTCTTTTTTTTCTTAAACGAAAATTTTATTTTTAAATGTTGTTATTCTTATTGTTATTTTATTTCCTGACAGAAATTTTCATCTTTTTTTTTATTTATGTGTACGTAATATCCCAAAATTTTGATTTCTTTTAAACACCATTCATTCGTTGAGGTGATACTTTTCTGTTTTTTGTAATGAATGAAAAGTTCGTTTTTTAGGAAAAATTTGTGACAATTCATGGGATATGACATTTATTTTTAATGAAAAAGAAAAAATGTTGCATTGACTCATCATGTATTGCAGAAGTGTTGTGGAAACTTATCATTAGTGGTAAACTGTTAAACTTGAACAGTATGGTATGTTAAGACTTGAATTTATATTTAATTTTTGGGATTTTTTTTCTAATATATTCAGTGTTTTGCCTGTATTCACGTATTCATACATGTTACACACGTTTAGTAATCCAATTCATGTTTTTTGAGAATGTTTAAAGGCATCATGACGAGAAGTTCATAATCTTTTTGGATTTGTACAGGCAAGTCATTCTTTGCTTTTTTGTCTGCAATATATATTTTATTTTGTATAAAGAGTGTGAGATGTCTGTTTGTTTAATTTATCGTATTTATTTATTAGGATGTATTTATGGATTATTGAACTCGTTTGTTTTTCTTTTCTTTCTCAATTATTTTATTGTATCCATTTTAAAAAATCGAAAAATCTTTGATATAAAGCGCATTCACCATTTTAGCAGTATATATGTTGGAACATATTAAGCGAAGAACATGGAAAAATTTTAGAGATAAAGTTCAACCCTTTTAAGTGCTGAAGACGCGTACACATGCAAAGAATGAAATGGAAAAATATACTGGATAAAATTAAACCGTATTTAGAGTAGCTGTCAAAAGTTTAACGTGTTTTCTTCTTTCAATTTTTCATCAACTAGAGTGATTCGAAGATATGCATTGCATTACTTGGATCATCGATAAATAAACATTGTTTCTCAAACATTTGGGCATCAATTCCATGATAGTACTAATGTGAATACTATACTATATTAACATTATGCTGTCGGAAACCACAAACATTATTCTGTCGGAATTGTTTTATATATTCAGGCGTCTATGCTACATAGTGGTATAAGCACAGCCCTTCAAGAGCAAGCTATGAGATGCCAATGTCCACATCTACTCAATGGTGAAGTATAACCGTCTTTCCCATGAAAAATAATTTGTTCAAACTCCCAGGATATCTCTCGCTTATACTGCATATTTTCAACTTTCAGCTCGAAGAAACGGTTAAGAATGTTCACTTTCATTCCGAAATAGCTAAAAAAAAGAAGTAGACGCAGAGGTACAACTTAATATTTGTGATCATCATAGTCGATTGTATATATGTCAACTCATTCTGGCTCGACGCCCGTACGTAAAAATCAATAGGAAAAATACGGATTACACAGGTTCATTTTCAAGCAGAAAAATCGGTCAAAACCGACGGTTTGTAACACAATAACCGATTTCTTGCATAAAAACCGCGAGTGTGTTTTTGATATTATTTTTGCATCGTTGGGGTATAGCAGCGGTTATAATTTGGTGAAAACCGCAGAGATCTACGTGTGTGCTAAATTGGCTAGAATTACCCCTTTCGATTTACCCGCAGATGAAGGGGGTTACTTTTGGTATAAAACTGCGGTTTACAGAAGTTGGAAGAAATGGTATTCACCTAGATCCGCAGTTGTTTTAAAAAGGAAGCAATTCATCCTCTCCCTTTCAAAACGCATCCGCGGTTCTCGCCGGTCATATCTTTTCGAAAAGTTTTGGCACACAACCGCACTGACCTCTGGTTACTCCTCCAAGAAAAAACCCACCCGCCGATACCCGCTGTTTCCGAGTTGTTTCAGTAACAACCGCAGTGAACCGTATATACTTTATGGACAACTGCACATCACAGCAGTCAGGAACGGTGAGAACCGCTTGTGCTAATTTTACAAAAAAACGAGCGAAAATTTGACAACCTTCGAGACGCGCGGTTTTTCAGTGAATAATCAGTTAAAACCTCTGGTTTACCGGTGCTCTACCGGCGAGAACCGCCCTGATATCCGCATGAACCGGCATGAATCGTGTATAAAATAAAATCATACTCAGTTATCAGTGCGGTTTAGCGGGTATACAGTCATGCCTGGGGTACTTATTGCCCAACTTCGAAAATTTGTTCGAAAGGTTAAAATTTCGTGAATATACCAAGTTTCATGCGCTCCATCAAACGAATTGTGAACGAAACTAATATTTTATTATTAAAAAATTTATTTTAATTTTGCCAAAATTTCAATAAAACGTATTGCAAGAACACGTTTCCGCCTTGTGAAGCAGTGAGATTCGCGCAGAACTCAAAATTCTGAGTACATATAGAATTTTTGAGAATATATTTTGGAAGTCGCATTTTGTCGATCTCAAGATGTTGAAAAGATTGAATAAATTTTTTATACAAGCACATGACACCATCATTGGGTCATGCTGCACATGAAAAAGAGAAAAGAAAGTTATGCCCTAAACTTCTGCGACATTGTTTTTGTTCTTTCCCTTTTATGTAGGATATTTTTATCAATAGAAAAGTATGTATTCTTATATATCAACTCGATATATTCTGGATCCTTATTTTCTGCTAAAATATTGTATAGCAGAATAGAAGGGTTAATCATTAACCCTTCTATTCTTCTATACAATATTTTAGACTTCGAATAAGACCTATAGAATTATCACTTATTAGGCGTACTCATCAGTACTTCTTTTTTGGAGTGCTTTGGAGCACTCCTTTTTATAAAGTACAGCTGAGGTACTGCGGAGCACTTCAAAAAAAGCAGCACTCAGGAGTACTCATTTTTTGTGGGTACTCCGTTGTAGCTTTTTGAGTACTCATTTTGCTTTGGAGCACTCATTTTGGGAAAAAAAATGTTCCTTTCTTCTTTTTCCGAAAAGAGTGCTCCATGATACTCCTCCTCTTAATATTTTTTTTGACTGGGTATAACATAATATAAAAACGTTTTTTCTCAAAACGGGTATGTTACCTTTTAATGTTTCATATATATACTTTAACAATGATTAGTCGAAAATTTATCTGTACATTCTAGCTTTAAAAGTTGTCCGTTACGCTTGAGATCTTACTATAGAGAAAATGAACCGTATGTAGATCAAGCAATAAACGTTGATGTAACACGTATGTTGTCAGTGGGGAGTTGTGTAAGTTTAAATGTCTTTTATAAGGGTTTTTCTAAAACATAACATATAGACTATGTGTATCAGGTCAATCGAATAAAGCACAAAATCACCTGAAAATGACCTAACAGTATCTAAATGTCTAAATGAAGTTACAACTTGACTTAGTTAATTGTATCTGTTACTGCAACATAAGAAAAGGATTTAATTTGCTTGACTTTTTGTTATTCCTCTGCTTCTACTACTGATCACAAATATTTAATATTATTTACATATCCCACTAAATATTTTGAAAAAAGAAATAGCACATTTTGGGATTGAAGAATCATAAAGAAGAACCCGATTGAGAAGAAATATATCGAATACTTGTAATGCTTTCAGAGAAAGAGGTGTGTCAGTCTGAAATAGAAAATCGCAAAACAAGAATCATCGTCAGAGGTAGGTGTGGCTCGTGTAGGCGTTTAGAATAAACGAAAAAATGCAGGAGAAACAGGCTACGACGTTCCTGTATCATAAAAATGTTCTTAAAGAAAGAAACAGGTTATAATGACATTAGCATTTTCTCTCATTAGCACTTTAGATCATCGTTCGACACCTGTTTAGATAGTTGTTTCAGAACATTTATTACGGTCTCACTACAGCATTTTTAAGTATATGATTAATTTGTAGTATGATCACGGCAACTACGTCTATATTGTTTTATTAGCAACTACTTTTTTGAGGTTTATAACGGTCAGCTCAGGAACAGACTTCCCAGATGATCCTCATTTTGCGGACAAATTGCAGAATTTGTCCGCTGTCCGCTATTTGTCCGCATTTTGAGAATTGTCTGCTTTTGCTGTTTTTCCCCTGTTTACATATAACATTTAAAAAAAGAATATCTATCTATTGAGAATTCTCTTTCTCATCCTATTGTTAAACCAACACCATCTCCAAACATGCACAAATTAGTTTCGTTTATATTTTCGATTCCGTGCAGTAATTCATACGTCGAAAGTGCATTTTCTTCCATGAAACATTTATTTAACGATAAAAGAAATCGTATGTCGACAGAAATGATTGTAGCTGAGTTAAAAATTCGCTTAAACTTATCGTTATCATACACTGAAATTTATAATTATTTCTTATCAACGCCCGATCTGCTTAAACTTATTCATTCTAATCAAAAATATACAGTCAAAAAACAACATATTAACTAAAATCGGGACTTACATTTGTTTGTTTTTCTCTTGTGTTGCTCCGGCGCCACAGTCAATGCCAGTACGGCGAAAAACCGCGTCGATTATGGCACTCCAGCGGGCAACTCTGTGATTATGCGTGAAAACAGTTAGACCATGAAAATGTGTTTCCGCTTTTTGTCCGCATTCTGAGAAAAAATTTCCGCAAATTTCCACATTTTAGAATTTTTATTCCGCATTTCTGACCTGAGGATCTGGGAACTCTGCTCAGGAATCACTTTTAACGTAATCATGATTAGTGTAGACATACGATGTTCGTAATCATTATTAGAACAAGGCTACTCAAGATTTAAAACAGTTGCCATCGCATTATAAAATTGATGATCATGATCAACCTTATGCACATGATGCTGTAGTGTAACCACAGTGATTGTTTAAAACCTGATTTTTTCGAATAATGGTGGCTAGCTGTATTAAAGTTTGAGGTGTTTTGACCATGACTTTTATTTAGA